TTACCAGTGGACTCTGCCGACTGGTCCTTTTACCACCCGCCCCTCCACCAGTTCCTAGACTCCCGTGACGTCCGGTTTGACGAGTCTGTGTCCTACTACACCCGGTACCCCTGTCGAGGTCTCCCGGTACCCCCTCCCCCCCTGTTCCTAGCACCCTCTCCTCCTCCTGCTCCTGCTCCTCCGGTACCCCCGCCCCCCCCTGGTCCTGCCCCGTCTGGTGTGTCCCACGCTACCCCTCTACCCTCGGTCGCGCGTCAGGTAGCGTCTCCCTCCCCGCAGTCCTCCTCACAGTCCCCTCAGCAGCCTTCGGCACTTCCGCGACAGGTTACTGTGGACTCGGTTGGTGTTGGAGCTGGAGGTGCAGCCGCTGGCGGTGCTCGGTCTGGGGGTGCTCGGTCGCGGGGTGCTGGAGTAGGAGGTGCTGGCGCAGGTGGCGCTGGCTCTGGGGGTGCTGGAGCTGGAGGTGCTGGCACTGGAGGTGCTAGTTCTGGGGGTGCTGGAGTTGGCGGTGCTGGCATTGGCGGTGCTAGTTCTGGGGGTGCTGGAGTTGGAGGTCCTGGCACTGGAGGTGCTGGTTCTGGGGGTGCTGAGTCTGAGGAGACTGACGCTGGAGACCCTGGTTCTGCGGAGTCCACTCTGCCTCCCCACCGCCACGACACGCGTCTCCAGGCTGCCCGTCGGCGTGAGCGTGAGGAGCGGGAGCGGTTGGAGAGGGAGCGGCAGGAGCTGCGGGTGCTGGACCTTCTGGAGCAGCAGCGGCAGCAGCAGCAGCAGCAGCAGCAGCAGCCGCAGCCGCAGCAGCAGCAGCCGCAGCCGCAGCCGCAGCAGTAGCAGCCGCAGCCGCCGCTGCAGCAGCAGCAGCCGCAGCCGCCACCGCAGCTTCCTCTGGAGCGGCAGTTGTTCCCACCTGTGAGTGGCCTGCGGGCCCTTGGCCTTTCCTCCTCTCCTCCTGTCCGCTCCCAGTCTCCTCCTATGCTTGTTCCTCCCTTGCCTCCTCCTGACGACCGTCCGGCGGTCTGGTCTTCTCCTCCTCCTCGGTCTCCTCCTCACTCTGTCCGTCACGACTTGATCACTCGTTGTCCTCCGCGTGCTCGTCACTCGTCCCCTGTTACTGACCTCCACACTGCCCTCCTTTGTTCGTCCCATCGTCGTTCTCCTTCTCCTGTGTCCGTTCTCCCGTCTCCTCCTCCGTCCTCTCTCCCAGCCCTCCCCACTCCTATAACTGACTACTACCGCACTGTTCGTCCTGTTGCCGCACGTGTCCTCGCCACTCTTGTCACTGACTCTCGTTTCCCTCCGTCGTCTGCCTCGGCTCTTACTGCCGCTGTCGCTGAGTTTGCTGCCGCCAGCCGCCTTGACTATGCCACCCGGGTGGTGCCAGCTCCTCCCTACCGTCCTCTGTCCGTCGGGGGTGGGTTTGCCCTTGGCTGTGACGTCCTAGAGGACAGAGAGTCTGAGCTGGAGTACTGGGCAGCCGCTTCTCCCTCTGTGTGTGCCATGCTGCTCTCCCCTGAGGGAGACCCCGACGCCCTTGACATACCGACTCCTCGCACTTACCGCGAGGCAGTGTCAGGGGCGTGGGCCTCTCAGTGGAAAGCGGCTATGGACTCAGAGTTGGCGTCTTGGAGATCCACAGGCACCTACGTCGACGCAGTTCCCCCTCCCAGGGCGAACGTAGTCGATGGCATGTGGCTCTTCAAGGTGAAGCGGCCGCCTGGAGCACCGCCGGTGTTCAAGGCGCGCTACGTGGCTAGGGGCTTCAGTCAGCGTGAGGGAGTTGACTTCTTCCAGACCTTCGCCCCGACCCCGAAGATGACTACTCTTCGGGTGTTACTCCACATAGCAGCGCTGCGAGACTACGAGCTGCACTCCCTCGACTTCTCCACTGCGTTCCTCCAGGGCCGACTGCACGAGGAGATCTGGCTGCGCCGTCCTCCTGGCTTCACTGACACCTTCCCACCTGGGACCCAGTGGAGCCTGAGGCGACCAGTCTACGGTCTCCGCCAGTCGCCCCGTGAGTGGCACGACACTCTTCGCTCCACGCTTCGTGACCTTGGGTTCAGCCCGTCCTCCGCCGACCCGTCGCTGTTTGTTCGAGCGGGTTCTACTCCGTTCTTTATCCTTGTCTACGTCGACGACTTGGTGTTTGCTACAGCTGACAGGGCAGCCCTGGCTCAGGTGAAGTCCGAACTGCAGAAGAGACACAAGTGTACTGACCTGGGTGAGCTGCAGCGCTACCTTGGCCTGCAGATCACCCGGGACAGAGCCGCTCGCACCATCACACTGACGCAGTCACACATGGTGCAGCAGGTCCTTCGGCGGTTCGACTTCCAGTTCTCCACCACACAGCCCACTCCTCTTGCTGTTGACCACAGACTCACGGGCCCCTTTCCTGACGAGCCCTTCGAGTCCAGTGGACCCTACGCAGAGCTGGTGGGCTGCCTCATGTACCTGATGACTTGTACTCGACCGGACCTCGCCTTTCCCCTCAGCATCCTTTCTCGCTTTGTTGCGACTGGGAGACACCGACCTGTCCACTGGACAGCTGCTGTGAGGGTGGCGAAGTACCTGGCGACTACACCAGGCATGGGGCTTGTGCTTGGAGGGACTCAGCCAGTGGCGTTGACTGGTCACTGCGACTCTTCCTACGCTGACGACGTGGAGACTCAGCGCTCGACTCAGGGTTACTGCTTCAGTCTGGGAGCTGGTGCTGTGTCGTGGAGGTCTACACGGTCGTCGTCTGTGGCTACTTCCAGTGCAGAGGCAGAGATCTACGCTGGTGCCATGGCGGCACAGGAGCTTCGCTGGTTGACCTTCTTGCTCGCCGACCTTGGTGAGCGGCCTCGCTCTGCACCGACCTTGTACGCTGACAACAAGGCCATGATCCTCCTGTGTCGAGAGCCTCGACTGGAGAGCAGAGTGAAGCATATTGACGTGAGGTACTTCCTCCTGCAAGAGCTGCAGCGACGTGGCCAGGCACGCCTGGACTTTGTGGCCTCAGAGGCCAACACTGCAGACGTCTTCACCAAGGCCTTGGCGCTTGGTGATCACCACAGGTTCTGTGTGCAGTTGGGGCTTGTTGAGGTAGGACTCGGTTGCTGTAGACTTGTTGTTTGCTATGCTTGTTGTGTTTCCTATTTATATCCTAGTGAACTCTTGAACTGGCCTTGTGGCCGTTTGCTTGCGCTCGGAATTTGTGTGGTGTCCTTGAGATCCACCCTGAGCTTGCCTTGTTTCTTGCTTTGACTGGTCTTGTGACCGTTTGTTCACCTTGCTTGCTTTGATGCCCCTCACTTAGCCTATGGGGGTGTGTCAAATGTAATTCTATGCTTGTAGGCTACAGTGAGTAGCACAATAGGGAGTACAGTTGTTAGGGTTGCATATTTGTACTTCCACACTACCTAGTTTGACCATTCCGTTGCATTCCTATTCTGAGATAGACATGCTGTTTAATTTCGTCTGATTTTTTTAGAGAAGCTTTTTCTATTCATCTGATTTCTCAGTCAGCCTTATACAGTTCGTCTGAGACTGCAGATATCGAGTCTTTTTCGACTGAAGGCAAAACTCTCGAAAGAAGCAGGCGACAAGATTCGAACTGGAAACCTCAGGGCGTATCCAACTTCGGGTCATCAGCACTGTTCATTCAACTGTTTGGGGCATCCGCAAATCACGGATGCCCCGAACTCAACACCGGAACCGCGCGCGGCTCGAACTTCGGGCCATCCTGCAACCTGCATGCGACCGTCACGCCCAATGTGACCCCCACCAATCAGACACAAGTGCGACCCCATGTTGGGTCCCCCTCTTTTGACGGACGTCCTTCATCATTCACGCCCGGCAATTTCACCAACACCATCACTGCGTATAGCACAATTCTGTAAAAGCCACTTGACCATGAACACCGATACAAGCCAAATGTGCAAAGCCAGTTGAAAATACGGCCCGACAGCCATATCTACAAGCACAAGCTTGACCATAGCTAGCCGCCTTGCAACCAGCGCGACTCCCAACGCGCCCCGCATTATGCACGCCCGTCAACCAGCTCCCGTTGATAGGATGAGCTGCCACTTTACGCCTCCTGGGAGTCCTTAAACCATGCTCACAGGTCAGGTCCTCATACTTTGTGTGGCCTTGCACCTGTGGCATGAGGTGCTTCTTAACACCTGGCAGCGTGTAGTCTCTCTTGCGGCTCTAGAGTGGATAACCACCATCCTACCCATGGCTGAGGCTGAAGATGCCGAACGCCTCCGCCGTGCAACCGAGCGCCGGGAGAAACGTAAACGGCGTCGCGAGGCTCGTGTGGCGGAATGGGTGGAGGAGATCCGCGCGATGTTCGACGAAGAGTTTGAAGATACCTTCCGTATTACCCGCGAAGTCCTCGACCTCATCGCCGAGGGAATGGCCTACCCCATGTCGCGTTTTGTTGAAGTGAATGAGGTTCCCTTGTCACTGTGCTGTCTTATCCCCATCAAGTATTTTGCCAGCGCCATGACGTTCCACGACTTGGGCCTCTTGTTTGGATTGCCCAAAGGACTCATCCACCGTATCGTCGATGCCTTCTTGGTATGGTTTCCCCGCAAGTTCAAGCGTGACTGGGTGCAGTTTCCTACGGAGGACGTGAGGGAGGAGATGGCGCTTGACTTCCGTGCTATCAAGGGAGTTCCCAACGTGATTGGGGCGATCGACGGGACCCACATTGAGCTACGTGGCATGGAGGCTCACCGTGGTGACTACTACAACCGGAAGCAGGTTTACAGTGTCCAACTTCAAGTGACATGCGATTCTAAGGGAGTCATCTGGGATTACAACGTGGGCAATCCCGGTTCAATGCATGATCAAGGCGTTTTCTCAACATCTGATTTGCATGGCAGGCTAGAGAGTGGGGAAATCGCCCCTTATCAGCTTGTAGGAGATGCGGCATACCCACTGAAGCCTTACATGCTCACCCCCCTTCACGCCCCACGCCGTCGCCTGATGAAGAAATGGGAGCAGACATACAACTACGTGCAGTCTGCTACCCGCATGGTCGTCGAGCGCACCATCGGCGCGTTGAAGGGACGCTGGCGGCTCTTCGCGCGCAGGAACGAGAGCAAGCTCTGGCGTGTATGCGCTGGGACGGCCTGCATCATCATCCTGCACAACATGTTGCAGGTCGTTAGCACGATGCGCATGAAAACGCACAATTCGGGCCGCTTTATCTGGGCCGGGCTCCCTAACGGCTGGTGGACAAGAAGCGGCATGGACAAGTACGAGTGGCAGAGCCTCGACAACCCTTCCCTGGCCGATCTGCGCGCGCGCAGGCATCACTTTGGCAAGCACATCCATGCGCTTACCTCAGGCGTCACCGTGTGCGGACGTCGGCGCGCTAAGGCTCCGCATGCTCCTCGAAATCCTCGGACCCCCCCATGTTCTTGTCGCCCGCAACTTCCGGATGGGCTGGAGTCGGGGTATTCGAAGGTGCCGCGTTTGGCGCTGGCGGGCTGGCTATCTGCAGTCGAAAGCCAGCCTGCATGGCGGCGACAAGGAGCTGGGTGGAGTCTTGCAGCTGTCGCACCACCGTCGCATTGGTGGAGTTGATGGCCTCGCTCACCATCTTTGCGGCCGCCATGGTGGCAGTCTCCTCAATCCGCCGTCGTTTAGGGGGTGGAGTCACCCCGGCATCTGTAGGGGAGGGTGTAGGGGGGGTGTATGTCAATAAGCCGGCCCTGGTTTTTGTTTTTTCGTTGACTTTATGGATATTTGAAACATCTACCTGTTGGTCATGCTCACACGTCTAACGATGAACCACAATCGCTGGAAGGGTGATATCAGCGGCAAACACAAAGCTGGACCTGAAGCAAAGCATGAAATGCTCACACTTACGAGTGGGGAGTACACACCTGGTGTGGTCGCCTGACGGCGGTTAGAGCGCCCACGGCCCTCCGATGGAGGCGCGGAGGTTTCCCGGTCGTTGCAGCCGGGCACCGGGGCATACGCTTGGACGTTGACGTTCGCCGCGCCTCCACCGTCGAGGGCGTGCGCCTTGGCCTTCGCCGAGTGCTTTTTTAGGTGGTAGACGTATTCCCACCACGGTTTTTTCTTTATAGCTTTCCCTCCGCTCTGTCCCTCCCCCCGCTTCGTTTTCAGGTACTTCTTCTCGAGGCGTTTCCAGGCGTTGGACATTTGTCCCTCATCGCGGTCCCGATTTTTGTCCTTCTCAAGCATGTGGGCGCAGAGCTTCCTCCAGTACTGGCTCCCCTGCTTGCCCTGCATAGCCTTCAGGTCGTCTTTAATGTTCCAACGAGCGGCCGCCAGGGACGTCAACTCAGCGTCCGACCACACGCGCTTGTTGCGAGACGCAGGAGCCCGCTGCTCCTTCTTCGACGGGCGTATGCTGCGCTCATCACTGCTTCCGTCGTCGCCTCCATCAGTATCTTCCTCGTCCTCTTCACTGCCGCGTCTGTAATCGGCTGAGTCGGCATCGCTATCCGGCTCCGAGACGATCTCCTCGAGATCGTCATCGGAGACGTCAGTATCGGCGCATGTGTCGGGATAGTCATGCCGAGAACTTCGGCTAGTGCTGGCGCCCGCAGTTTCGCGTACGGCCTTAGCCATACGCTTGATAGATGGGGACGTCTTCCCCTGCTTTTGCTGCTCTTTCATCCATGCGACGTAGGGTGGGTCAGCCTGGGCCTCATCATCGCTAACCTTCTCCTTTCCCTTGCCGCGTGAGCTTCGTCGCGGAGGCATGGAGGTACTCTGGGGTGGCTCACGTACGGAGATAGCGGGGTGGTTTGCTGGCTGTTCTCAAAGATAGATCTAGATCTACTTCATCCTCATTTTCTGTTTCTGCCGTTTTGTGAAACCCTTGGGTGAGGCTGTGTGGTTGGGATGGGTTTCGGAGGCGCGCAGATCCAAATGTTCTTTTTACCGCCGGGAATTTAGACGGGTGGGGTGATGGGGTGTTTGTCGCGCAACCGGGTGAAAGGGATCGCATGGCTTGAAGGCGGGCGGGCCTATTGGTTGAAGCAACATTTGGCGATGCCTTTTTTGGCGGGACAACAAACGCGCCTTTTTTAGGGTCGCACGATGTTCGATGGCCCAAAGTGGTGTTTTGTGTAGTTCGGGGCATCCGCACATTGCGGATGCCCGGAACAGTGCTGATGACCCGAACCTGGATACGCCCTCAGTCTTTACTGCTCCATATTCTACTGACTGGACCATTAGAGCTGTTCATCGCAGTTACTTGACCTTTTTAGTCATATTTGAGAGTACATTGCTTGCTAGCTTTATATCTTCTCAGACAAGTATTTAGGATTCGTCTGAAAAGCTAGACAAGGTTACAGCTTTCGTCTGACAATCAGACAAGGAGCCAGGCCCCGGTCTTGACATCAGACGGGTCATTTTACTAAAGTTAGCCCAGCTCGTGGTCCCGGCGATCCAGTCGTTCACCTGGAGATCAGCGGAGGGCTGCTGATCGTGGTTCACCTCTCCTGCATTCAACTATGGACCTCCTCCGTGTACCCCCTCTCCCCTCTGTTGAAACTTAGGCAAGGATGGATTCAACTATTGAGAGAGTTTTACAAGTAGGAAAACCCTAAGGGGTTATACCCCACAGAATCTACCCCACTACAGCCTACCAATAACTACAACATATAAGATATATATGTTTGACACACCCCCATAGGCAAAGAGGGGGAGAGCAAGAGGTCACAAGACCAGTCAAGAGAAGCAAAGCAAGCTCAGAGTGGATCACAACGTCACCACACACTCAAAAACAGTACAAGTGATCTCTACCTAGCAAGAGCAGGCATGCAGGTACATATGTATAGATCACAGTACAAGCAGAGTCTACAGCAAGTGCGGAAACGTAGGCACAAGACCCAACAAAGTACAAAAGCGCTGATGGTCACCAGACGGAAGTGCCTTGGTGAATATATCAGCAGTGTTGGCCCGAGTGGCCACGTGAGCAAGGCGAAGCTGACCCCGCTGCTGCAACTCTCGAGCCAGGAAGTAACGCAGAGCGATGTGCTTCGTTCTGTGCTCTAGTCTATGCTCCTCACACAAGGCAATGGCGGCCTTGTTGTCGACGTACAGAACTGGAGGAGAACGAGGCCTCTCTCCCAAGTCGGTCAGCAGGTAGGTGAGCCAGCGTAACTCCTGAGCAGCCATGGCTGTGGCGTAGATCTCGGCCTCACAACTGGAGCCGAGAACTGAAGACGAACGCGTAGAACGCCAGGAAACTGAACCAGAGCCAAGGCTGAAGGTGTAACCCTGTGACGACCGCTGCGTAGCTAGGTCGTCAACCCAAGAGGCGTCCGAGTGCCCAGTGAGGACAACTGCGCTCCGCCCTCCAAGCACGAGCCCCATGCCCGATGTACTGCACAAGTAGCGCAGTACCCTCTTCGCAGCATCCATGTGCTCCTTTCGGTGCCTACCAGGAGCCACGTAGCGGGCCAGCAGGCCAAGAGGGTACGCAAGGTCAGGTCGAGTGCAGGTCATCAGGTACATGAGGCAGCCCACTAGCTCTGGGTAGAGGCCACTTGGCTCTACGGACTCGTCCGAAGGTGGAGCTGAGAGCGAGTGGCCTGTAGCCAGAGGAGTGCGCTGTGGCGAGGACCAGGTGAAGCCGAAGCGCTGAAGGACCTGCTGCACCATGTGTGACTGAGTCAGTGTGATGGTGCGGCGTGCTCTGTCCCGGGTGATCTGCAAGCCAAGGTAGCTGCGCAGCCCACCCAGGTCTGTGCACGTGTGTCTCTTCTGCAGCTCCGACTTCACCAGGGCGAGAGCCTCAGTGTCAGCAGTGGCAAAGACCAAGTCGTCGACGTACACGAGGATGTAGAACAGCGGCAACAAAGTGTCTGTGCGCAGAAACAGCGACGGGTCAGCAGTAGAAGGCGCGAACCCAAGAGCCGCAAGTGTCGTCCTTAGTATGTCGTGCCACTCACGTGGCGCCTGGCGGAGACCGTAGACCGGCCGCCGGAGGCTCCACTGGGTACCAGGAGGGAACGACCCAGTGAAGCCAGGCGGGCGGCGCAGCCGGATCTCCTCGTGCAGGCTGCCCTGTAAGCTGTGCTGAAGTCAAGAGAGTGAAGCTCGTAGTCACGCTGAGCGGCAACGTGCAGCAACACCCGAAGAGTGGTCATCTTCGGGGTGGGGGAGAAGGTCTGGAAGAAGTCTACTCCCTCTCGCTGACTGAAACCTCGAGCAACGTAACGAGCCTTGAAGACAGGCGGAGAACCTGGCGGCCGCTTCACCCTGAAAATCCACATGCCACTGACGATGTTCGCCCCAGGAGGGGGAACCTCGTCAACGTAAGTGCCTGTGGACTTCCAGGATGCCATCTCTGCGTCCATGGCTGTCTGCCACTGAGAGGAGTACTCACCCGCGATCGCCTCAGCGTAAGAGCGCAGAGTCGGGATGTCTGGTGCATCCGGGTCTCCCTCAGGGGCAAGCAGCATGGACACGAGATGAGGCGCAGCGGCTGCAAGACACTCAAGGTCCTCCTACCTGTCCTCAAGGACGTCCGTGCTAAGAGCACACTCACCCCCGACGGACGGAGGACAGACAGACTCAGACTCAGCAACAAGACTAGCAGCGTAGTCTAGACGATAGGCAGCAGCAAATTCTACCAGCTCAGCGACAAAGGCAGACGCAGCAGCAGACTCAAACGACGGGTAAGTCACAACTGTGGCTAGCAGACGTTTGACAGTAGAGTGAGCAGCACGGGTGCGGTCAGACTCAGGCTCAGGAACGGTAGGCAGAGAAGACGCAGGAGGGGACGGCAGGGGAACACGCTGCGGAGGAGAGGAAGGACGACGAACTACGAGGTGGGTGCCGGGGACAGCCGGCTGACGCGAACGAGGAACACGACGACCGGAACTACGAGAACGGACAGGCGAGACAGGACGCGACGCAGGCTCACGACGCTCAGTAAGACCCCCTGTCTGCTCAGCGTAAGGAGAAGGAGCAGGCAGCGGTGAGCCAGGCTGTAACAGAAGACCAGTAGACGAAGGGAGACTAAGAACCTGGCGAAGCACAGAGTCAGGCGGTGGCTGAGACGACGGAGACGGTGGAGCGAAGAACAGGCGCGGCTGTGCAGTGCCACCAGCACCAGCAGCTCTAGCACCCCCAGCAGCTCCAACACCTCCAGCAACTCCAGAATCCTCAGCGCCAGCTCCTCCAGGACCAGCTCCACCAGCAGCAGCACCCCCAGAACCAGCACCTCCAGTCCCAGCAGCTCCAATACCTCCAGTACGAGCACCTCCGGGACCAGCACCACTCCCAGCTTCAGTAACGACAGCAGAAATACCTCCAGCGGCAGAGCCTCGAGCTCCAGAAGCGCGACCCTGACGGCGACCGTACCAGTCGTGCATCTGCTGTGAGGTGAGAGGCACACGCGGACGAAGGCGGCTACTCCAGGGAGACCGCGCAACAGCAGACTCAGAACCCTCAGCGCCAGCACCCGCAGCAGCTCCAGAACCTCCAGCGCCAGCACCCGCAGCAGCCCCAGAACCTCCAGCGCCAGCACCCGCAGCAGCTCCAGAACCTCCAGCGCCAGCACCCTCAGCAGCTCCAGACTCCGCACCCCCAGGCTCCGCACCTCCAGGCTCAGCCCCCCCAGGCTCAGCACCCCCAGGCTCCGCACCCCCAGGCTCAGCACCCCCAGAAGTAGCATCCCGAGCAGGACCACCCTCAGTAGAACTTGAGTCACCAGTGACCTCAACCGGCGCAGTCAAGGGAGGAGGGTCTACCTGAGACACACCTGAAGGAGCAGGACCGGGAGTGGGGAGGGGGTCTACCTGGGGAGCACCTGGAGCAAGAAAGAGTGGCGGGGGGGGGAGAGGGGCAGTGCGTTAGGGGAAGAGACGGTAAAAGGGAACCGACTCGTCGAACGTGACGTCCTAAGAGGGGAAGACACGGCGCGAGGTGGGGTGGTAAAACTGCCAACCAGGCGCGTCAGGGACAAAGCCAAGGAAGACACAGGGAACAGCGCGGGCGGAGAGCTTGTCCGCGGTGGTATCGCGGACAAAGGCACGAGCACCCTAGACCTGGAAACGCAACGCATCGCCAACCTTCCCCGTCGACAGCAGTGTGGGCGAGGTCTCCGGCAAGGAGACACGGGGCCAGAGGTTGAGCTGATGCGCGGCGTACCGGACCGCAAACGGCCACAGAAAATGGGGGGCAGCCGCATGGATCATGGAGGTACGAGCGACCTCCATGACTAAGCCAATGCGGCGCTCAGCAACCCCATTCTGCTGCGGAGAGGCTGGAAGCGTGAACGACTGGGTGATGCCGTGCTCCTCACAGAAGGCTGCCAAGAGGTCGGAGGAAAACTCACCACCTCTGTCAGAGTGCAGACGCAGGACGGGAAAGTCCGTCCCGAACCGCTCGCGGAGCTGGAGACGAGCAGCGCGGATCCAAGGGATCAAAACATCAGGGACCTCACCCTTGGTGCGCAAGGGGAAGACCGTGGTGTAACGCGTGTAGTGGTCGACGACCAGCAGGAAGTACCGCTCGTGGCCCTTTCCACGGACGTGGGCTGGGCCCCACACGTCCAGGTGGAGAGTCTGCAGGGGAGCCTCTGTGGGAGGGAACGAGGAGGATTGAGGAGCGGCGCGCTGCCGCCCCTCGACACAGGGAAGACAGGGAGGAGCAGGCGAGGGTGGGAGGGGAGGGAGAACCCTGGGAAGACCAGAGACAAGGACACGGCGATGCATGCTGCGAAGGCGTTTCACCGAGGGGTGGCCAAGGCGGTGGTGCCAAAGGACCGTCTGGTGCGACAAGGCGCGACACGAGCAGGGGGCCGACAACTGACCTGACGCAGACACAGACGCAGCTACTTGAGGGGACTCAGTGGTCAGTGTGTACAGGCCCGACCCAGGCTGCCGAGTGAAAATAACCAGGTGACGACCCGTCTGAGCACACGTGCAGTGTGTCACACGCTCGTAGGCAGGGGTGAACTGGTGAACACCCGCGTCCTGGAGCGCAGAACCCGCCACCAAGTTCGTAGAGAACGAGGGGAGGTAAAGACCCGACAGTGTGCCGGACGAGACAGCAGGACAGTGGAGGAGGTCACACGGACTGGACCCCCAGAGGGGTCTGCCAGGGAGACTGGAATCGGCCGACTGAGCGGCGTGAGGGTGGTGCTGTCGCGAAAGAAGGAGCGAGAAGCACCAGAGTCAAGTGTGAAGGTGTACAAGGCCTCAGCAGGCGCAGTACCAGAGAGAGCAGACTCACCAGCACCTGGAGTGGTAGGCTCTATACCTGGGTCAGGCGGTACGCACAGGCAACAGGCACGGTCAGCACTAGTAGGCAATGCATACATGGCAGTGAGAATAGCATCATAGTCAAGAGCAAATATATCTACCCTCTGCCCAAGCAGCTCCACCCAGTCGGGGAGCTCAGCCTCGTCGCCAAACTCGGTATGCCAGGCGTCACTCAGACGGGCGAAGCAGCGGGACTGTGTGTGACCAAGCGTCCCGCAAGCCTGGCCAGTCCGATCACCTGAGCGAATGACGTACGGGCAGCGAACGGTACGCAAAGACCCTCTACTCTGAGCGTACCACTTGTGAAGCTGCCGGGGCGTAAGTGTTTCGCGTGGATGCAGCTTCAGCTGGCCACTGCCAGACGCTCCCAACTGACCAGCTCCAGGGCGACAGCTACGACGGCTACCGCGACAACCCCAACTAGCGTACCATTCACTAAGCTGCTGGGGCGTGAGAGACTCGCGCGAACGTCGCTGGAGCTGCATCTGGCCACCGCCAGTAGCAGCAGTAGCAGTAGTAGCAGCAGTAGCAGCAGTAACAGCAGTAGCAGCAGTAGCAGCGCGGCCACCCCTACAACCCCAACTAGCGTACCACTCACTAAGTTGCTGGGGCGTGAGGGACTCACGCGGACGTCGCTGGAGCTGCATCTGGCCACCGCCAGTAGCAGCAGTAGCACTAGTAGCAGCAGTAGCAGCAATAACAGCAGTAGTAGCAGCAGCAGCGCGTGCAGTGCAGGCGCGGCAGGCACGCAGGCAGGCAGGCCAGCAGGCAGGCAGGCAGGCAGGCAAATGGCGCGGCAGCGCGCTAACAAGGCAGGTGCTCACCAGTGGCGGGAAGAGCAGGCGCTCGCCGGGCGAGCAGGGCCGGCGCTCGGCGGGCGGCTGCACGGGGTCCAGGGGCGGCGTCGCGGGTCCAGGGGCGGCTGCACGGAGTCCAGGGGCGGCTGCTCCAGGGGCGGCTGCTGCAGGGGCCAGGGGCGGCTGCTCTGGGTCCAGGGGCGGCTGCTCGAGGGTCCAGAGGCGGCTGCACCAGGGGCGGCTGTTTCAGGGGCCAGGGGCGGCTGCTCGGGGTCCAGAGGCGGCTGCTCCAGGGGCGGCTGCTGCAGGGGCCAGGTGCGGCTGCTCTGGGTCCAAGGGCGGCTGCACGGAGTCCAGGGGCGGCTGCACCAGGGGCGGCTACTGCAGGGGCCAGGGGCGGCTGCTCTGGGTCCAGGGGCGGCTGCTCGAGGGTCCAGGGGCGGCTGCACCAGGGGCGGCTTCTTCAGGGGCCAGGGGCGGCTGCTCGGGGTCCAGGGGCGGCTGCTCCAGGGGCGGCTGCTGCAGGGGCCAGGGGCGGCTGCTCTGGGTCCAGGGGCGGCTGCACGGAGTCCAGGGGCGGCTGCACCAGGGGCGGCTGCTTCAGGGGCCAGGGGCGGCTGCTCTGGGTCCAGGGGCGGCTGCTCTGGGTCCAGGGGCAGCTGCACCAGGGGCGGCTGCTTAAGGGACAGCAGCGAGCTGCGCGGGCGGCGGACTCGGCGCGCGGCTCAGTAGCGGGCCGCGCTGGCGACAGACGCGGCGCGCGGGGCCTAAGCGGGCCGCACACGGCGGCGGGCTACGCGGGCTCGACGCGGACTGCGCGAGCGGGCCGGCGCGCGGCGCTACAGCGGGCTACGGAGTGGCCGAGGCGCGCGCGGGCTCCTAAGGCGGCTGCAATAGTGACGCGCGCGAAAAAAAAAAGTGACGCGCGCAAGCAGCCGAGGCGCGCGCGGGCAGCAGGCAGGGCAGGCAGGCAGGCAGTGAGGCTGTAAGTGAGGTAACTCAGTTAAAGGTGGGCCCTATTCTTAGGTCCTAGAGACCTTAGTGCTCTAGATGCCATGTTGAAACTTAGGCAAGGATGGATTCAACTATCGAGAGAGTTTTACAAGTAGGAAAACCCTAAGGGGTTATACCAATAACAGCCTACCAATAACTACAACATATAACATATATATGTTTGACACCCTCCCCCCATGCGCCCCCTCACCCTCTGCTCCCCTCACCCCCGGGCAGCAACTACATGGTGGCAGACGAGGATCACATTCTTCTGGGGCTGTCCAGCGGTCACCTGCACCTCGTGTCTTGGCGCGGCCAGGTGAGTGCGCACGCTGGCGGGCAGGTGAGTGCGCACACTGGCGGGCAGGTGAGTGCGCACATTGGCGGGCAGGTGAGTGCGCACACTGGCGGGCAGGTGGGGGGTGAGAGCACGGACGGGCAAGTGGGGGGTGAGAGCACGGACGGGCAGGTGAGAGGACGGGCGGACAGGTGGGGGCTGAGCAGAGGGGAGGGAAAGACGAGGTGAGCGGAAGGGGAGGGATTGAGGCAGTGAGAGGTGAGAGTAGGGAGTGATGAGGTGGGGCGAGGGGTTGGAGAGGTGTGGGAAGGGGATCATTGAAGTGAGGGCGGGAAGAGGGACTCTTCAGTAGTACAGTGGTACAATGGACATACGGTGATCCCTCTCCACTCCCCCTCCCCTCCCCACCCCGTTCCCCGCTCCCTGTTTCTCTGCTGCTTCCCTCCGCTCCCTTACCCACCCCATTCCCCGCTCCCTGTTCCGCTGCTGCTTCCCTCTTCTCCCTTACCCACCCCATTCCCCGCTCCCTGTTTCGCTGCTGCTTCCCTCCCCTCCCTTACCCACCCCATTCCCCACTCCCTGTTCCGCTGCTACTTCCCTCCCCTCCCCTCCCCTCCCCACCCCTCCGCTCCATTCCCCTCTCCTCCTCTCCCCCTCCTTCTCCCCTTCCCAGCTGCGCGGCACGGCAGACCTGATAATGATATCGAGGATTGGCCCTTGAAGGAATGACTTTCTCACGCATTACCAAAATCCGCGATTTCTTTTCACGGCTTCAGTCCCAATCTTACCGTTGATTCTCCGCTGTTGTAGTTCTGACGCCTTTAAAGCCCGCGGCCCAAATTGCGGGCCGCGCGCGTCAAGCTTTTAAAGCTTTCGTATACATTTGCAAGTACTGTTTGGACTTGCACTGTAGCCAGGGAAAAATTCGCCAGAACGAAACAACTGAGCGTGGCGAGAGGTTTGGCGAAAAATTGCAGCTTTGAGGAGTTCCAAACACAGGAAACTCCCCCGTCACCCAACCTTGGAGTCAGATTTCACTAGGAACCATGATATGTGACTAACATACGCTAAGCATAGATAGAGGAACCGGGGCGCGACAAAGAACATGCGGAGCATCGACACCGCTCAGATATTCTCATGTGAGATGAGTTTAGGTAACATTATAGGCTTGTGCGAGTGGGAAAATACATCTAGCTTGCACGCCAGCTCCTTTCCACTGCTGCGCCGTTCAGCGGCAATCGGAGAGGGAAAGGCTCTGCATTCGTCGAGCGCGTCGTGCTGCATTGATGGGCCCCGTCGAAGCCCTGTCAAGGGCGCCTCGACGGGTTGTTTTATAAAAAAAGTCCTTACAATTGTATCACTATATACATAACCTTTATCACCCAACCCTGGATTCTTCGATACCAATCACGTGACTAGTCATATGCCTGTGCACGAATGCAGGGAATGGAAGGGAATGGCAGGGAATGGAAGTGTATGGAAGGGAATGGAAGTGTATGGAAGGGAATGGAAGGGTATGGAAGGGTATGGCTGGGGTATGGAAGGGAATGGTAGGTATGGAAGGGTATGGAAGGGAATGGAAGGGTATGGAAGGGAATGGAAGGGTATGGAAGGGAATGGAAGGGTATGGAAGGGAATGGAAGGTATGGAAGGGTATGGAAGGGAATGGAAGGGTATGACAGGGGATGGATGGGTATGGCTGGGGTATGGAAGGGAATGGTACACTTACGCTAGGGAAGGAAAGGTATGGCAGAGTATGGCAAGGTATGGCAGAATGAGGGACGGGCTTGGCTGGCGTATGGAAGGGTATGGGAGGAGATGGAAGGGTGTGGCGGTGTATGGCAGCGGATGGATGAGTATGGCATGCGATCATCCAAGGGTACGGTAGGGGTTAGAAGCATATGAGAGGGAGAAGGGGGGAAAATGAAAGGAGATGGGGGGAAATGAGCGGGGGGGAAACGAGATGGAGAAGGGGGGGGGAATGAGAAGGAGCACGTGGGGAAAGGAGAGGGAGATGGGGGGAAACGAGAGGGGGAAGGGGGGGGGAATGCGGGGAAATGAGAGGGAGGTTATGTGGCATTTAACTGAGTGGTTAAGGGGGGAATGAGAAGGAGCAGGGGGGAGAATGAGAGGGATAAGGGGGGGAAATGAGAGGAAGAAGGGGGGTACATGAGCGAGAGAAGGGGGGACATAACAGTGAGCAGGGGGGAGGATGAGAGGGAGAAAGGGGGGGAATGAGGGGCTTCATGGGGGGAATGAGAGGGAGTAGGGGGAGATATAAGAGGGGGAAGGGGAAGAAATGAGAGGGAGAATGGGGGGGAATGAGCGGGAGAAGGGGGTGACATGAGAGAGAGAAGGTGGGGACATGACAGGGAGCAGGGGGGGAGATGAGAGGGAGAAAGGGGGGGATGAGGGGCTTCATGGGGGGAATGAGAGGGAGAAGGGGGGAGGAATGAGGGAGAGCATGGGGGGGAAATGAGAGTGAGCAAGGGGGAAAATGAGAGTCTGCAAGGGGGGAAATGAGAGTGCGGCTGCCGCGGCTAGTGCGGAAACGTGGTAGCGAGGCTGTGCGATCGGGCGGCGACTGTGATGTGTGTTCGGCAGTTTGAGAAGGGAGGCGAGAAGGGATAATCGGGAGTGGGAAGGGGAAGCGGGGAGGCGGGAAGGGGAATTGGGGAGGCGGGAAGGGGAAATGGGGAGTGGGAAGGGGTAATGGGGAAGCGGGAAGGGGTCACGGGGAGGAGGGAAGGGGTAGTGGGGAGCGGGAAGGGGAATTGGGGAGGCGAGAAGGGGTAATGGGGAGCGGGAAGGGGAATTGGGGAGGCGGGAAGGGGTAATGGGGAGCGGGAAGGGGAATTGGGGAGGCGGGAAAGGGTAATGGGGAGCGGGAAGGGGAAACGAGGAGGCGGGAAGGGATAATGGGGAGCGAGAAGAGGAAATGGGGTGGCGGGAAGGGGAATTGCAGAGGCAGGAAGGGGTAATGGGGAGCGGGAAGGGGAAACGAGGAGGCGCGAAGGGGTAGTGGGGAGCGGGAAGAGGAAATGGGGTGTCGGGAAGGGGAATTGGGGAGGCGGGAAGGGGAAACGGGGAGGCGGGAAGAGGTAATGGGGAGCAATCGTTTCTGATTACCCTCGCGACACCTCAATTGCGGCTGCCGCCGCTACTGCGGAAACGTGGTAGCGAGGTCGCGCGATCGGGAAGCGACTGTGATCGTGCGTGTTCGGCAGTTTGAGACGCAGCGTGCGCGTTCATGGTGGCGTGAGGAGGCCGCGTGGTGAGGCAACGCGACGGACGACGAGGCGAGGCTGTGAGAAGGGGTCCGGCGGGCTCGCCGTGTTAGAGGGCGGAACTGACGTTGGCTCGGACGTGTAATTACACTAAACTGCCCCACGCGTCTAAGTTTGTGTCGGAAACGGGAGTGATTTGCGCTGGCTGTTGTCGCGATGTGCTTTGCTACGATTTATGCTGCCTGTTGAGCGTAGTGGCGTAGATCTCACATGGACTGGATTTCGTATACTTTTGTTAGTCCAAAAGTTTTGAATCACCAGTGAGCCCTGGGTGACGGGGAGATCACCTCCCTTGTGAAGCGAGTGAAACTAGCTGTTTCTGGGTTACCAATATTTCAAATTTCAAAACTTTTGAACCTCCCTTTTTCAAATGTATACGAAAGCTTTAAAACTTCACGAAGTGCAGTGTGCAACCTTTGAAAAGTACCGCACTTGCAATTTGGGACTTTCAGGGACAGACCCAACCCTTGGGGCGAATACGAGGGAGTGCTGGGTTTGGCGAAATTAACGAAAAAACGAAATCGGGAGTCACTCGACAAAACCCAGACCAGAAAAACCCCACGCGTCAACTTTTAAAAGCTTGTGCAATTTGGGCCGCCGGCTTTAATCTCTCCAGGCAGCATGATTCGACGCGACTATCGCGGATTCGGCATCCCGCCCGGGCCGCCGCAGCTCCCGGAAATGTTCCACAGTCCCACGTGCAGCCATGGGAAGGTGGTTTCTGGCAGCGAGCGCACTGGCGTCGTGTGCGGCCCGATGGTCCCCGTGGATCGCGGACTGGATCTGGTCAAGCACACGCGGTGAGTGATTCTGGTGACACGGATTCTTATCTCAAGCACACGCAGTGAGACACGGATTCTTATCTCAAGCACACGCAGTGAGACACGGATTCTTATCTCAAGCACATGCAGTGAGACACGGATTCTTATCTCAAGCACACGCAGTGAGACACGGATTCTTATCTCAAGCACACGCAGTAAAGGTCGATGTTTTTTTACGTTCTTTTTTTCGTTCATTTTTTCGTTGTATGAGATGGTCGAGTGGTTGGGTCCTATTCTTATACTCGCCGTACACCATCTTTAGTCACCTTCTGTCGGCGTGTGCCCTTCTTATCTTCGCACTCCGCCTCGTTTCTTTTTTCTTTTCCAACTCATCACTTTCGCAGATCCTTCTTTCTCATCCCTTGCAATTCTGGCACGCATCCCTTACTTGCACCTTTCCCGTGTTCCGTGCATGTACGCGCACGTGCGTCGCTCTGAATCATCTCGAAATGCCTCTCCGCTTCGTTTCCTTTCCGTCTCGCCACCGATCTGTTCCTCCCTACTCACTCATCCCTACCCATCCCTTGCCTGCACCATTCCCTATGTCCCATGCATGTGTGCCTGCACCATCCCCGATGTCCCATGCATGTGTGCCTGCACCATTCCCGATGTCCCATGCATGTGTGCCTGCACCATTCCCTATGTCCCATGCATGTGTGCCTGCACCATTCCTGATGTCGCATGCATGTGTGCCTGCACCATTCCCGATGTCGCATGCATGTGTGCCTGCACCATTCCCTATGTCCCATGCATGTATGCCTGCACCGTTCCCGATGTCCCATGCATGTGTGCCTGCACCATTCCCAATTTCTCATGCATGTCTGCCTGCGTGCGCACGCGCGTCCCTTGCCTGCACCTTTCTCGTATCCCATGCATATGTGCGCACGTGCGTTGCTCGCAGGTACCCGTACGTCACGGGCACGTCGGTGCTGGTGATGAAGTAAAAGGGCGGCATCATCATGGCCAACAACTGCGAGCCCTTCCTTGGCTCGGTGAGAGGGATCTTTTGTCCTTCCTTCCTTTCTTTTTGCTTAGTATGAGCATTGCACCACTTTTGTTGAATGCTGTTAGTCCATGAAGATTTCGAAAGAGACAGCAGAGGGAGTGACAATATTGAAGCCGTTTGCGCTGAACACTGAGTGGAACTACGCCCATTTGATAAGTACAGTGGTTCCTGGTAGCAACGCAGGCCTCTTATACCAAGTGCATACATGCTTTAGTGGAGGCTCGAGTCGACGACAATGTTGACACTAGCTCTTTAACCTTCCGTATACTGTAATACATAGAATGCTTGACTATACAGCAAAGGACTCTCTTCTCCAAACCGATTCTGACTAATCCGATTCAGTGAAATACAGTTTGTGGTGTGGTGAGACCTGAGGCGAACGCATCCCTTCAGGATCTTGCAACGATTAATCAGCCACAAGGTGGATTGGAAAACGAGGGGAGAGGTGTGAATCGAGTTTTTCCTTGAGTGGTCAGTGATGTTGATTGTTGCCAGGACAAAACGAGTGACAGACTCCCATATTGATGTACCGGTACTCTCGCCATGCTCCTACGCATGCGATTTCCACCACAAAACATATTGAGTAGTGTCCAACCAGGTTCTATGACAAATAAAACCATACTAGAAAAACAACGTGGGTATATGTGACCACAAGAATCAGATATGCCAAGGCCTTCAATTTAACTTCACTAGCAATACCAATGTTTGACTATGACAACACAACTTTGTTTAAGCTTCTGAAGCTTGTAGTTTGATAACCAGTATCGTAACAGTTGATTTGCATGTTTGAATTCGGTTGTTCGCAAAAAGGTTCGCGAGCGGTGGCAGCAGCGTGGACCTCGTGCTGCCGTCGATACTTCTGAAGCCACCGTAATCCGACGGCGACGTTGTCAATCTGCAAATATTGATATGATTGGTTGAACAGTGGCAGCGACGTGGACCTCGGACCGTCGATTGTTCTGAAGCTATGGTAATCCGACGGCGCTGTTGTCAATCCGCAAATATTGAGATGATTGGTTGATAGTTTCGTGTGTTCGGCTCATTCTCTCCTCGTCGCCCCATCGGTTGTTCATAAATATTGGTCCTGCTTTGCTGTTCATCACCAGTTTTCGTCACAAGCGTTATTCAGCTTTTTTAAGACATCTCCCTTGAGTTAGTAACTTTCTGGCGATCTCACCGCTAGCTCTTGACCATACCACTCGCTTCGCGGCTTTCATCTCCCAGAATCATGTCAGGCCGAGGAAAGGCTGCTGGAAAGAAGGCAGTGAGCAGATCAGCAAAGGCAGGACTTCAATTTCCTGTGGGTCGTATAGCCCGTTTCCTCAAGGCTGGAAAGTATGCCACTCGGGTTGGTGCCGGTGCTCCAGTGTACCTTGCTGCAGTCCTCGAATACCTAGCTGCTGAGGTGCGTAAGCCGTCACCAGTTAATTTTGCGTTTTCTCTCATTGCGCTTGAGTGATTATAGTACTTAACCTTTTGGCCTACTTTCTTTCAGGTTTTGGAGCTTGCCGGGAACGCCGCCAGGGATAACAAGAAGACTCGCATTGTCCCGAGACACATTCAGCTGGCCGTGAGGAACGACGAGGAGCTCAGCAAGCTATTAGGAATGGTTACCATTGCTGCTGGTGGTGTTTTACCAAACATCCACTCCGTCCTGCTTCCGAAGAAGTCGGCGGCTGACAAGGGCGAGACCCCAGAAGTTTAGTCCGACTAGGATTCTTTTTGGCTTGATACGAAGGTTTCCATCCTGTATATGCTATTAGGAATACACTGACTAGTTTCTTCAACTGTGGTTACTAACAGAGTGATACAGTATGATGTGTGTTCGACTCCTGTTGGAACATTCGAATGGAAAGTAAGAATTTAATAACCTGAACATTGGCTAAATACAAATTTATAAAACGTCACTGTTCCACGTGGTGATCAGCTTTTTAGTTCCAGATACTACGCGTAATGTTAGCACGTCACCGCTGTTACTGGCTTTGTTCTCATGCACTGCCGACTACTGCCTCAGGGTCGACAGGAAAACATCTTTAGTTCCTCTATCTTGCTTGTGCGCTGGCAATAATGCAAAATCGACTCGCTCTTGCTAGATTAGTAGGTTCATCATGGGGGGTGTTCTGGAGATAAGCACTCCTCTAGTCGTCTCGCGTTCGAGCTGGATTGATAGGAAAAGAGCGGCCATGAGATCTCCATTCTGTTGTTGAATGTCTGACATTTACGTTCTAGCTCTATTTTTCCTTTCGACAGTAGAAAGAAACAGATAAAACGGCTTCACGTGGAGGCCATGTATATCGCGTACGGATGGCCGAAGGTTCTCAGAACGACTCGCGGTCCCGACGATCCAGTCGTTCACCTGGAGATCAGCGGAGGGCTGCTGATCGTGGTTCACCTCTCCTGCATTCAACTATGGACCTCCGGCCAGGTTAGGGTTTGAGAAGCGTTTGTACCATCATCTTCTAAAAAGGACTAGCATTAGAGTGTACTGGCTGCTAGACCGAAATTCAGTGAGTCGGCAGAATCTAATTAAGCTCAAGGCTTTTGCGAGGTGTGACGGAGTTTACGGCTGGAGCGACATGATGTGGACAGCATGACGGGTTGACCACGGCTCAAATCCTCTTCACCGTTTGCGTATCAATGCCTATAATGCATCCGCAACCCTAACGCGCTGGTGTGCTTGCCAGCCCAACTCTACCGTTGGTCCTATGATTACCACCCTGTCAAATCCCCCTTGTTGGTGTTGCGTTGCGATCGCTCATCTGATCTAATTTCGCAGCACCGCGTGAAGCTGGGCGAGTTCGTGCGAGATGACAAGTCTCTCCTAGAAGACGGTGGGAACCTGCACGCCATATGGAACGAAGCCGTCGAAACGCTCGCCGTGCTGGTATGCTGAAGCTTCTGGCAGTGCTGGTGTGATGAGAAGTGGGGGGTTGTTGGTGTGCTGAAGCCTCCTGGTCCAATTCTCTTTGTGTCATCTCATCTCCTTTCAACCCCTTTCTTCCCCCCCCCCCCTTTCAACCCCTCTCCTCTCCCTTCCTCCTCCCCCACCCTCCCCCCAGACGGCGGGCAGCGTGCTACACTTCTACGATGTGCGCACCACGCCCAAGCCCCTTCTTCCCCCCCCCGTTCTCGTCCCGACCCCATCCCCCTTCCCCCCCAACCCATCCCCTTTCCCCCAGACGGCGGGCAGCGTGCTACACTTCTACGATGTGCGCACCACGCCCAAGCCGCTGCGCCTCGTGTCGCCAGACTCGCCGCCCTCTCTGCTCGCCCTCAAGTTCCGCTCCTCCACGCGCGTGCCTCTCTTCGGGGACAACGTCTCCATGTACGCACCCCCTCCCCTCCTCACCCTCTTCCACACTGCCGTTTCAAAGTTCCCACATCAACTGTCATGTGTGCATTTCTCTCCTGTACTTCTCTTCTTAAGTTCCGCTCCTCCACTCGCATGCCTCTCTTTGGGGACAACGTCTCCATGTACGCACCCCCCCCTCTTCCCCCCCTTCCTCACCACCCCCCACCCCACCCTCCCCTCTCTCCCAACCCCCTCCCTCTCCCTCCCTCCCCTTCCACACTACTGTTTCAGAGTTCCCACATCAGGTGTCGTTTGTTCATTTGACTCCTGTGCCTCTCTCACGTCTCAAGTTCCGCTCCTCCACACGCATGCCGCTCTGTAGAGGCAACGTGTCCATGCATGCACGTCCTCCCCGCCCCACTGCCGTTCCCAACGTCCCATCCATGACAGCTCTGATTCGTTCATGTGCGCGCCTCACACCGCCATGCTCACCCATCCCAACACCGTTTACCTCTGTGTACCACCCAACCCCTCTCCCCCTCTTCTCCCCCCCCCCCCCCTCTTTCCCTCCTTCTGATGGACGAGGACCACATCCTGCTGAGGCTGTCTCCTCATCCCGTTCCCCCCTTCTTCCTCCCGCTTCCGCTCTCCCCCCCTTCCGGGCAGCAATGGCGTTGTGGCGGACGAGGACCATATCCTGCTGCGGCGGCCGGCCAGCCGCTCCCTCATGCCGTTTCCCCCTCCCTCCCCCGTGCACCCCCTCTCCCCACTCTTTGCTCTCCTTTCTCCCCCTCCCTCCCCCCCCCTTACCCTTCCGGGCAGCAACGGCATGGTGGCAGACGAGGATCACATTCTGCTGGGGCTGTCCACTGGCCGCCTGCACCTCGTGTCCTGGCGCGGCCAGGTGAGTGCGCACACGCACGCGTGTGCAGGTGGGGTGTGAGCGGAGGTAGACATGAAACTGAGGGGGGGAGGGCGCAGTGAGAGGTGAGAGGAGGAAGGAAGCGACGAGGTGAGGAGAGGGGTTGAAGAGGTAAGGGAGGGGGATGGCAGAAGTGAGGGCGGAAAGACGGCCGATAAAGTGGTGCAGTGGTGTGCACTCCAGCTGCGGGGCACGGCGGATCTGTAGCGCAAGCACAGCAGGGAGGTGGTGGGGTGGGGCCCATGTACGTCAGTCTGTGTATGACTCCATACGTCCCCCAATCACCAACCTCCCCTCCCTCCCCACCCCCCCAGCTGCGGGGCACGGCGGACCTGTGGCGCAAGCACAGCAGGGAGGTGGTGGGGTGGGGCCCATGTATGTTCCCGAAGCCAACGGCCTACCCAGTACGCCCCACTCCCTTTCTCCACTCATCGTTTCTCCCCCTTCCCCCCCCATCTCCCCCCCAGCTGCGGGGCACGGCGGACCTATGGCGCAAGCACAGCAGAGAGGTGATGGGACCCATGTACGTGCCAGAAGCCAACGGCCTGCCCAGCACGCGCCGCTCCCTTCATCCACTCCCCTCATTCCCCTCGTTCTCGTTCTTTCACTCCCCCCCTCTCCCCAGCTGCGGGGCACGGCGGACCTATGGCGCAAGCACAGCAGGGAGGTGGTCGGCCCCATGTACGTCCCAGAAGCCAACGGTCTTCCCAGCACGCCCCACTCGCCGCGCTCCTCCCCACTCGCCCCCTCCTCCTCCTACCCGTACCCCGCCTCCCCGCCCGCCCCCTCCGCCGCCCCTCCCTCCACCCCCAACGGCCGCTCCAGCGGAGGAGCAGACACAGGGGGCGCAGGAGCAGGGGGAGCGGGAGCAGGAGGAGCAGGGGGAGGGGTGTCACAGATGGTATATTCCCCGGCGCTGCGGCTGATAGCGGTGGTGCTGGTGGATGGGCGAGTGGTGCTGTGCTCCACGGGCGAGAGGGGGCTGAGGCCCGTGGAGGAGGTGACGCCAGAGAAGTGGGTGGGCGTGGTGGACGCGGCTACTGTGGCTGTGGGCGAGAGGCAGCAGCTGCTGGCTGTGGGCAGCAGAAGGGGGACGGTTGAACTGTTTGATTTGGCCAGGAGCTCTGCACACCTCAGGACTGTGTCGCTCTTCGACTGGGGGTGAGTGGGTGGGCGTGCGTGGGTGGGGATGAGTGGGGGTGAGCGGGCAGCAGCCAGCAGCCAGCATGTGCTGTCTTGTTATGGGGAGCCGAGAGCAGATAGGATGGAAGCTAAGGGGCCTGGCAGTGGTCTGATTCGTTCTGCCGCCACATGCTCCTCTTTGTCTCCCTTTCCCATTCCTCATTTAACCTTCCCCTCTCAACCCCTCCCTTGAACCTTCCAGGTACTCACTGGGGGACACGGGGGCAGTGGCGTGCATATGCTGGTCGCCAGACAACCTGGCATTTGCAGTGGGGTGGAAGCTGCGTGGTCTAGCCGTGTGGTGTCACTCTGTGTCTTGCAGCCTCCCTTGTCACCCATTCTTCATCCCCTTCTCTGGTAACCATCCTCGCTCTCCCATCCCTCCCCCCCTTCCGCTTCCCCCCCTCCCCCCCGGCTAGGTATTCACTGGAGGACACGGGGGCAGTGGCGTGCATATGCTGGTCGCCAGACAACCTGGCATTCGCAGTGGGGTGGAAGCTGCGAGGCCTAGCCGTGTGGTCCGTGTCAGGCTGTCGCCTCATGTGCACCATCCGCCAGGGCTCCATGAGCCTCCTTCCCCCCTCCTCCTCCTCCTCTTCCACCACCACCGCTGGTATCACCAGTCCCCGGAGCTCCGCCGCAGGCTCGGACCCAGCCTCCACGCCAGGCTCGGCAGCAGCCGGGTCCGCTACAGCCGCTGTGGTGAAGAGCAGTGAGCCGATGGTGGGGGGCGTGGCGGCTGTAGCGTGGGGGGAAGAGGGGTACCAGCTTGTAGCGGCGGAAGCAGGGATGGTGGGGGAGGTGGCGGTGGGGGTGAGGGGGCGGCAGGCGGGGCGGCTGGTGCAGTTTGCGTTTGCGCGGCAGTGCTCGAGTAAGGCGGTGGCGGGGAGCTCTCATGTGTGGCAGGCCATGGCTGGTGCGGATAGGGTGCTGTTGGTGCAGAGTAATGAGGAGGAGGAGCTGAGGGTGCAGCACCTGGTCATCCCGGTGAGTGTCTGGGCATTTGGGTGGGTGTGCAATTTGATGAGTGTGCGTTTGCACAACAGTGCTCATGCAAGGGGATCGCGGGTTCAGACCGAGTGCTGCTGGTGCAGAGCAACGAGGAGGGGGCTGCGGGTGCCGCACCTGGTCATCCCCGTGAGTACGCGTTTCTGTGAGTGTTCATTGCCTGATTTTTTCCATTTCCCCACCCAGCCCAGCAAACGTACATGGGCGCGCGTTGGGCCGTCCCCTCACCCACGTCACTTCCCCTCTTCCCTCCCAGCAAAGGCGTTTTCTACCCTGTTTGCCTCCCCCCTCCCCCCCCCCCAGCAAACGTACATGGGGGTGAACTGGCCGGTGAGGCACGTGGCAGCGAGCGACGACGGGTCGTACCTGCCCCACTCTTCCTTTCCCCGTCTAGAAACAGGAAATTTCATTCCCTGTTTGCCCGTTCTCCCCCCACGTCCCCCTCCTGCTCCCTCCCCTCCCCTCCCCCACCCCCCACTCCCCCCCCCCAGCAAACGTACATGGGGGTGAACTGGCCAGTCCGGCACGTGGCAGCGAGTGATGACGGGTCGTACCTGGCAGTGGCGGGGCGGCGGGGAGTCATCCTGCACAACCTGCGCTCCAACAAGTGGCGCGTGTTTGGGGACGTGATGCAGGAGAGGGCTGTCAAGTGCGAGGGGCTGCTGTGGGTCGGCAAGATCATCATCGTGTGCAACCACCGGGTGGCGTCCCACTCGTAAGAGATTGCGCTGACTGCACTGAATGCGTTGTGAATGAAGGGGTTGTTATTCGGCTGCACTACTGACTGCAGCTGCAAGTGCGAGGGGCTGCTGTGGGTGGGCAAGATCATCATCGTGTGCAACCACCGGGTGGCGTCCCACTCGTAAGACAATTCACCGAGTGAATGAAGGTTATTGTCTCACTCGTAAGAGAATGTGCTCAATGAACGGGTTGCTGCTGCACGCATTTTGCAATGCGACGGGCTACTGTGCAACGGGTGGGCAAGGTCATCATCATCATCGTGTCTGCCTCCATCCTACAAAACCTCCCCACTCGCCCTCCCCGCTCCTTCCCCTCCTCCCAGCTACGAGCGCTGCCTTCCTGGGCTTCCACCTGCCGTCTGTCCCTCTTCCGTACCCTTATTCCCAGTGCCGCCCTCCCCTTGCCCCCCCTCCCAGATACGAGCTCTGTCTCTACCCGCGTTTCCACCTGGACGAGTCATCGCTGCTGTGCCGCCAACCGCTCCCAGCGCGGCCTATAGCGCTGGACGCGTGGGGAGACTACATTCTGGTGGCCACGCCCCCCTTTGACATCAAAGTCTTTCACATGCACGTGGAGGGAGACGTGTCACCGCTGCATCTACCCACCGTGCAGGTCAGTTTCGCTGCAGTGCGCGCAAGGTATGAGAGTGGGGGTCTCTCTCTAGCCCTGGATGCATGGGGAGACTACATTCTGGTGGCCACGCCCCCCTTTGACATCAAAGTCTTTCACATGCACCTGGTGGGGGACGTGTCGCCGCTTCATTTACCCACCGTGCAGGTGTGTTGTATGTAAGCAGGGGGAGTTGTTGTGTGAGCAGATCCTGTGACATTTTCCAGGGAGCAGCAGCGACTAGGTTTAGGCTTAAGCAAGTAGGAAAAAACAGTGAAAATCTTAACACTAGCTAACAGTGAAACCGGAACTCTTCTCGTTAACAGAAATTAAAACAAGACAAACATGTTTCGGCTGGAGGGCATCCCCTACCAGGCCTTCATCAGTGCCTACGAGAATGAAAACAGAGTGGAGCAGAAGCCTTACAAGAAAAGCTAACGCCTCCAGTAAAACAGAACTCAAGGTTATCTACACCCTGGCCCGCTCCAAAAAATTGGGGACCAATCCAGGTGGCCCTGGTAAACACCAAGAGCCACGTCTTCAACCCTCGAGGGTGTCATCGTTGGGAGCAGGGTCAAACCCTTCGCCACGCAACAGATTCGGTAGTCGCGCGCGCACCAAAAGCTTAAGCAAGCTACACCCAATCGTCCAAGCAACAAAAATTCTCTCAACATATAATCCATGTGTGATGAGCCTGTTTTTGAGTCGACTCAAAAAAATGAGGGCCTCTAGCACCGGGCGCGTGGGGAGACTACATTCTGGTGGCCACGCCCCCCTTTGACATCCAAGTCTTCCACATGCACATCTATGGGGACGTGTCGCCGCTTCACTTACCCACCGAGCAGGTTGGTTGCGTGTGGGTGTGCTTGCTGCACTGTGTGCAAGGGATGGGTGAGAGGGGGCCTTTAATGCTGGATGCATGGGCCAACTAAATTCTTGTGGCCACGCCACCCTTTTGACATCAAAGTGTTTCACATGCACGTTGATGGGGACGTGTCGCCGCTGCACTTGTCAACAGTGCAGGTTGGTTGTTGTGAGTGGGCGGCTGCATGGGTCGGTGCATGTGCGACTGCATGTGCGACTGCATGTGCAAACGACTGCATGTGCGACTGCATGTGCTGCTCCAACTATGCGCATCGAAAGGCACTCCACACTGCGTGAGCGTTAACTCCTCGCCTCTTGTCTGTATAGAGCTCTCCATCATGTCTCCCCGCAAGCCTCTTATGTTTTTTGAGAATTCTCAAAAAACATTTCCTTCCTCACCCCACGCTCTCCATCATGTCTGCCCGCAAGCCTCTAACGCCACGCGCCCCTTGTCTCCTGTATGAAGAGCTCCATTTCCTTCCTCACCCCCCCCCACCCCTGCCTCCTCCCCCCACCAGCTGCGCACAGTAAGAGAGCTCTCCATCATGTCAGCGCGCAAGCCCCTCGTCTCCATGCGCTTTGTATTTCTCTCTCGAACCTTCCACTTGTTTCTTGCTTGCTGCCTCTTCGCCCCCTCCCCGCTCCCTCATGCCTCCTCCCCCCCCACCAGCTGCGCACAGTGCGGGAGCTCTCCATAATGTCAGCGCGCAAGCCCCTCGTCTCCATGCGCTTTGTGCCGCGCACAGGGGACGCAGACGCGCAGGCGGAGGGGGAAAGGCAGGCGGGGAGCGAGGGGAATCGTGAGCGGGAAGGGGAGGGCCAAGTCGCCATCACGAGCAGCAGCAGCGAGCAAAGACTGTCCAAGGAGGGGGCGCAGCAGGGGGCAGCGAGGAGAGGAGCAGGCACACAGGCAACCGGGAAATCTGGAAAAGCTAGCATACGAGACCCACTGGCAGAGGCGATGAGGCGGCAGCCCACCAAGTGCATGCTGCTGCGCACGGATGGCGACCTGTCTCTGCTGGACCTGGATAGTGGCAGTGAGAGGGCGCTGGTGGCAGGGGTTGAGAACTTCTGGCTTACCCAGGGGGGGGATGAGGCTGCTGCTGCGTTGATCGAGGAGGTGCCCTGGTGGGCGTATGGTCACAGGGGAATGCAGGTGGGTGTAATGCGGTGCAGCAGCAGCCAGCCTGGGATATCTCATGCATCTGCTCTCTGATTCAACCAAGCATCGGCCCCCGCATCACCCCTTTTCTCATTGTACCACGATGCATCGGGGCAGCCAGCAGAGGTGCAGCAGTTTGACCCAGAGCTCGACTTGCCTCATCTCTTCCCATCACTCCCAACCCCTCCTCACACCATCTGATCAGGTGTGGTACCCCTCCTTATACCACGACACATCAGGCCAGCCAGCAGAGGTCCAGCAGTTTGACCCAGAGCTCGACTTTGACCGCGAGGTGTACCCTCTGGGGGTGTCGCCTGCACCTGCTCTCTCTGCCAACACAATTTTTTCCCTTCTCCCCTTCGGTTCTTCCTTTCCCGTCTTTCCTCATCATTCCCAACCCCTTTTCACCACATCTGATCAGGTGTGGTACCCCTCGCTGTACCACGATGCATCGGGGCAGCCAGCAGAGGTACAGCAGTTAGACCCAGAGCTCGACTTCGACCGCGAGGTGTACCCGCTGGGGGTGTCGCCTGCCGCGGGGGTGATCGTGGGAGTCAGTCAGCGCCTGTCGCTCTCCTCCTGTGCCGAGATGCCCTGCTTTGAGCCCACGCCCCAGGCGCAACCGATTCTCCCTTGCCTGCTGCGGCACCTGCTGCAGGTACACTGGTCAATGCCTGGTACAGGTTTCCCGCGTAGAAGTTATTCTTGTAGAGAGGCACAGGTTCAATGTTGGTACCCCTGCTACAGCCTACAGGGAGTGTGCTGGTAGCAGTGGGGGTGATCGTGGGTGTGAGCCAGCGCCTGTCGCTCTCCTCCTGTGCCGAGATGCCCTGCTTTGAGCCCACGCCCCAGGCGCAACCCATTCTCCCCTGCCTGCTGCGGCACTTGCTGCAGGTGCGGTTGGTAGTGTAGAGTCAGTATAGGTCTAGCGAGGAGCAGTGTGCTTGCTGCAGGTTTGCTCGCTGCTCAGTAGTGCAGTCACAGGTACACTTTTGAGGCGCCTAAAAAAAGGCATGCTCGGTAGTCCAGTGCAGGTAGATTCTGCCACGTCACTCTTTCCCCCTCTCCCCCAGCGCATCAAGGTGGTGGTGCAGGTGGTGGTGCAGGTGGTGCACCTCTTTGCCACACTGCATCGCTCACTCCTTCCCTTCTTTGATTTCATCCCCTCCTCTCCCTGCCCCGCCCCGCCCCCTCTCCCCTCGTCCCCTCCTCCCCTCCCCGAACCAGCGCAACAAGATGAAGGAGGCGGTGCAGCTGGCGCACCTCTCAGCCACACTCTCTTAAACACACCCTCCTCCTCTTGTACTTCCTCTCCTCTCCCCCCTTCTATGCCTCCCATCAGCGCAACAAGATGGAGGAGGCGGTGCAGCTGGCGCACCTCTCAGCCACACTCTCTTAAACACACCCTCCTCCTCTTGTACTTCCTCTCCTCTCCCCCCTTCTATGCCTCCCATCAGCGCAACAAGATGGAGGAGGCGGTGCAGCTGGCGCACCTCTCAGCCACACTCTCTTAAACACACCCTCCTCCTCTTGTACTTCCTCTCCTCTCCCCCCTTCTATGCCTCCCATCAGCGCAACAAGATGGAGGAGGCGGTGCAGCTGGCGCACCTCTCAGCCACACTCTCTTAAACACACCCTCCTCCTCTTGTACTTCCTCTCCTCTCCCCCCTTCTATGCCTCCCATCAGCGCAACAAGATGGAGGAGGCGGTGCAGCTGGCGCACCTCTCAGCCACACTCTCTTAAACACACCCTCCTCCTCTTGTACTTCCTCTCCTCTCCCCCCTTCTATGCCTCCCATCAGCGCAACAAGATGGAGGAGGCGGTGCAGCTGGCGCACCTCTCAGCCACACTCTCTTAAACACACCCTCCTCCTCTTGTACTTCCTCTCCTCTCCCCCCTTCTATGCCTCCCATCAGCGCAACAAGATGGAGGAGGCGGTGCAGCTGGCGCACCTCTCAGCCACACTCTCTTAAACACACCCTCCTCCTCTTGTACTTCCTCTCCTCTCCCCCCTTCTATGCCTCCCATCAGCGCAACAAGATGGAGGAGGCGGTGCAGCTGGCGCACCTCTCAGCCACACTCTCTTAAACACACCCTCCTCCTCTTGTAATTCCTCTCCTCTCCCCCCTTCTATGCCTCCCATCAGCGCAACAAGATGGAGGAGGCGGTGCAGCTGGCGCACCTCTCTGCCACGCGGCCGCACTTCTCCCACTCCCTCGAGTGGCTCCTCTTCACCATCTTTGACGCCGAGACGTCCAGGTGGGTGCAGAGCGGTGCAGTGCGGTGCAATGTGGTGCAGAGTGGTGCAGTGCGGTGCTAGTGGGTTTAGGTGGGCTAGGAATGCACCTCTCTGCCACACGGCTGCACGTTTCCCACTCCCTTGAGTGGCTGCTCTTCACCGTCTTCAGCGCCGAGACCTCCAGGTAGGTGCAGTGCGGTTTCAGTGCGGTTGCAGTGCGGTGCCAGTGGAATCCGGTGAGCCGGTTATGCACCTGTCTGCCACACGGCCGCAGAATCTTACACTTCCCCTTCCCTCAACCCCCTTCTCCCTTGCTCTCCTCTCCGCACTCCATCCCTCTTCCCCTTGTTAACCAGCGGGAGCGCACAGAGGAGGCGCAAGGAGGGGAAGAAGGGGCCGAGTCCGCTGGACCGGGCGTGTGAGCTGATCCGGCACTTTGGGGAGCGTAGCTTTCAAACTCTCTTTCACCCTCCCCCCGCCCCCTTGCTCCCCCTTCTTCCCTCTCCTTCCCCTCAGTGCGAGTGCGAGGCGGCGGCGCAAGGAGGTGAACAAGGGCCCGAGTCTGCTGGACCGGGCGTGTGAGCTGATCCGGCACTTTGGGGAGTACCGAGATGTGGTGGTCAGCGTGGCGCGCAAGACCGACAGCCGCCACTGGCCCGACCTGTTTGCCTCTGCTGGCAACTCCAACACGTGAGGCCCGGGTGTTTTAACGCATGAGAGAGGGCTTGGGGATGTGAGCAAGTGATAGGCTTGGGGGCTTGGGCTTGGGTATGTTAGAGGGGTGGGGGTTTCAAGACGGGGGATGTTGGGAGGAACCGAAGGGTGGTTGTGAGCCGATTTTACATGCTTTAAGGCATGATTCATTTGCCTACGATCACTTTTCCTTCTCATTGTGATTTATTGCAAATTGTGCTCGTTCCGCTTCCCTGCACTCAGTCCCCTGCTCTCTCTCCTCTGCACTGTGTGTGTGTGTGTGTGTGTGTGTGTGTGTGTGTGTGTGTGTGTGTGTGTGTGTGTGTGGCCTGCACTGCACTGCACGCACATGGCAGGCTCTTTGAGGAGTGCTTTGAGAACAAGCAATATCGCACCGCCACGTGCTACATCCTGGTACGTGCTCATGCCATGCCTTCGCTTGCACATCCTTTCCATTGGTCCTGTCTTCATCTGTGCGTCCTCAACGGGTGGTGGTGAATCTCCAAGGCCTAAACCCGTCAGCCAACAAAGCACTCTCACCTCCGCGTTCCTCCTGCTTCTTCCATTTACTCTACTCCTCCCTTGCGCCCCTCTTGTGCCCCATCAGGTGGTGGAGAAGCTAGAAGGCCCAACCATCGGTCAGCAAAGCACGCTTCCCACCTCCCTGTTCCCTCTTGCTCCCGCCTTTCCAACTGCGCCCTTCCCTGCGCCCCTCGCGTCCCCCATCAGGTGGTGGAGAAGCTAGAAGGCCCAACCATCGGTCAGCAAAGCGCCCTGCGGCTCTTGCAGGTTCGGCTCTCCCCCCGTGCTGGCTTCCCCACCCTATGCCTGCTTTGTGTCCCCACGCCTGCTCGCCCGTTGCAGGGTTTTTTTGAGAAATTCTAGAAAAAAGTCTCTGTTTCTTACCTTTCGTGTGAGACGATAGGAGCTTTGAGCTGCCTCAAGAATCGTCTCATCCTGTCCAACGCTCCTTTCACGGTTATGCAGTTGCAGCTGCCTTGTGCCCTCTCAGCCTGTAATGTGTCTGTGCGTGTGTGGTGTACATGTGTGCATGTGTGCACATGTGTATGTGTGTATGTGTGCACGTGTGCATGTGTGCACATGTGTGTGTGTATGTGTGCACGTGTGCATGTGTGCACATGTGTATGTGTGTATGTGTGCACGTGTGCATGTGTGTGGCTCTACAGGTGGCATTGCAAGAATCGATGTACGACTTGGCAGGCGAGCTGGTAAGAGCTGCAAAGCTGGTAGGGCTTCAGAAACAGGTGACCTGGTGGATCCTTCTATTCCCATTTCTCTTTCCAAACCACCACCACTCTCTTACCTCTCTCCGTTCTCTCCCCCTTCCCCCCCCCCCTTCCCCTCCGTTTTCCCTACATATTTGCCAAATCCTTTTCCAGGAAACTCCTGCTTCAATCAATCAATCTTCCCCCCCCCCGCCCCAGTTCACCCCAGATGTCCTTGCTTGCATCCTTCACAGTCTCTTTTCTGTGCGTCCTGTGTTTCCTCTCCCCATGCTCCCCATTCTTCCCATACCACATCCCAGGGGTGCGTCCTGCTGCGGTCAGGGCGGGAGTTCAGCCAGGCAAAGGAGGAGGACGAGAGGGCCAGTGAAATTCTAGCTTTCTTCACCTCTCTCTATCCTTCCCATCGTCCCGTCTCCCATCCCGATTCCCCCTTTGGTTCCCCCCCTCTCTCCCTCTCCTGCCATCCCAGGTGCGCTTCCTGCTGCGGTCAGGGCGCGAGTACAGCCAGTGAATGGTACAGTGGAGGAGGACGAGAGGGCCAGCGACACCCCTGTTGCTTCCGTCTCTTTCTTCCCGGTCAGGTCACCCCCTCTCCCCTCCCGATCCCCCTGTTCTCCAACCCGCCTTTCCCCCCAATGCCAGGTGCGCTTCCTGCTGCGGTCAGGGCGCGAGTACAGCCAGGCGGTGGAGGAGGACGAGAGGGCGAGCGAGAGTCTACTCAAGAGCTTCTTCTCCTTCGGATTCACCTCCACGTGAGTGCCCTTCCCTCTTGTCTGCCCTGGTGCACGTGAGACTCTCTCCTTCCTCCCCCCCTCCTCCTGCTCACTGGAGGACGAGAGGGCCAGCGAGAGTCTGCTCAAGAGCGTCGTCTTCTTCGGATTCACCTCCACATGAGTGCCCCTCCGCTGCTCGCACTTCAGTCCCCCCCTCCTCCACCCTACCCTGCTCCCCTTGAGTCTTCCCCTCCTCCTGCGTGCCCCACTTGTCTCCCACATCGTTCCCTGCCCGCCTCACATACGCACCCATCATCCCCAACCTACCCCTCGCTCCCTCTACCCCTTCTGCCTAGCGCAGAGAGCCCAAGGCGAGGGGGGACGTGTTGCACACGACGGTGAAGCACATTCTGGGGGAGAAGGCAACGCTCTCCCTGCTGACACCCCCCGCCCCCTACTCCATCTCCCCCCCTTCCTCTCCCCCCCCCCCCCGCCTTTCTCATACAGAGCCCCCAAGGCGAGGGGGGACGTGTTGCACACGACGGTGAAGCACATACTGGGGGAGAAAGCCACGGCCCTCATGAGCAGCAAGGAGCTCCGGCAGCTCGTGGCGTTCGTGAAAGGCACCCAGTTCGACTTCACTGTAAGGGGCGCTGCACTTGTGTATCTAGGTGCCTTTTGAGTCGACTCAAGGGCAGCTCGTGGCGTTTGTTGAAGGCACCCAGTTCGACTTCACTGTAAGGGCTGCTCTATTTGTGTATGACTATCTATCCATCAACCCTACAAACATTGGTCTAGATATTGTTTGCGTTTGAAGGCCGATATGTGAGAGCCAGCCAGGGCACCCAAGGGCACCCACATTAGCTTCAGTGTGAGTGGCTTTGTATGCACAGAGTTTGCTCAGCATGTTGATGTTCAAGGCCATTGTCCAAGCCCGTAGTCTGACTGACATTGAAGCTTGCGTGCGCATGTTTTTTAGTCGACTCAATAGCGTTTGTATGCACATAAGGTGCTCAGCATGTTGATGTTCAAGGCGATTGTCCATAGCTGTATTTTTTAGGCGCCTAAAATATCAGCATGTTGATGGTCAAGGCCATTGTCCAAGCCCATAGTCTGACTGACATTGAAGCTTGCGTGCGCTTGTGCTGTGCCATGCTCCTGCACCAACATCAACATGTAACCCATTCCCCATTCCCCATGCACCATTCCCCGTGCTCCATGCACCACTCCCCGTCCCCCATGCCATATTCCCCATTCTCCGTGTCCCGTGCCCCATGCACTGGCCCTACCAGGAATTCCTGCGGTCGGATCGAGGCAGGTCAATTCGCCTCGAAGACTTTCCCACTGCCCTGCGCACCATCCGCTACAAGGTACGACTCGTGGTTGCATTGCAGCACAGGTGACTTTTGAGTCGACTCAAAAGTCACCTCTTTCCCACTGCTCTGCGCACCATCCGCTACAAGGTACGACTCGGTGTTGCATTGCAGCATACATGGGGAGAGGATGGGGGAGGGGCGAGAGGGAAGGGGTTTGTTATGTATGTCATTACCCCGCTAATCATCCGCTCCCCCTCCCACCCACGCTGGACGCGGAGTTCCTGTTGGCTCCGTGGGCTTCCACGAGTGGACTGTCATGCTCGCCACGCTGCTGCATCCCTCCCTCCTCAACAACACGCTCCCCCCCCCCCCCCCCCCCAGATCGCCCTGGAGGGCAATCTACAGAGCAGGCTGGATGCGGAGTTCCTTTTGGCTCACGTGCGCACCGTGGGCTTTCATGAGTGGACCGTCGTGCTCGCCACGCTGCTGCAGCGATCTGAGGTGAGACGATCGGCCAATCTGAACAGCTCCAAACACTCTCTGAGGTTGGAGGGCTGTTTGGTGAAGGGTTGTTTTGGTGAAGGGCTGTACTAACTGCAGCCCGCTTTGCCTGGATTCAACCAGCAGGGTGGTCATGTGTGCAGAAGGTAAGTTGCTAACCCAAGCCTTGCTCATTCACCAAACCTGCGTAGGCACCACTACTTGCATCCAACTCTTTCCGGTCGCCATGTGTCTGACGATTATCATTGTTGTTTCCTCCTGTGCCCTTGGTGTGTGGCTCAGCAGGTGCTGGCAGAGCCGATTTCTGAGTTGACTCAAAAAAAAGTTTCCTCCCGTGCCCTTTGTGCGTGTGACGTGCCCTTTGTGCGTGTGAGGTGCCCTTTGTGCGTGTGACGTGCCCTTTGTGCGTGTGATGTGCCCTTTGTGCGTGTGACGTGCCCTTTGTGCGTGTGACGTGCCCTTTGTGCGTGGTGGACGTGCCCTTTGTGCGTGTGACGTGCCCTTTGTGCGTGTGACGTGCCCTTTGTGCGTGTGACGTGCCCTTTGTGCGTGTGACGTGCCCTTTGTGCGTGTGACGTGCCCTTTGTGCGTGTGACGTGCCCTTTGTGCGTGTGACGTGCCCTTTTGTGCGTGTGACGTGCCCTTTGTGCGTGTGATGTGTCCCTTCAGGTGCTGGCAGAGCTATTCCAGAACGACATGAAGCTGTGGACTGCCTATGTGAGAGCTCTTAAGGTATGTGCCACGGCTGGTGCATTTTCAAGGTGAGTTTGTCTTGCAGTTTCTCTTTATTCATTCACGATCATTCACACAAGAGTCACAGTCGAGCATAACGAGAACATGTCTCACAATTCCTTCTGGTCGGCCCTACCTTAGACCACGCACAACTTAATGCATTGTGCTTGACTGTCTCAGCATGATGGGATGTTGGCAGTGCGCTCTGCAACGTTCCAGCCCACCTATGTCCGGGCTTCCCTGCTCTCTCCCCTCCTTCCCTGCTTGTTCTCTGCATGTCTGTTTGTCTGATCATAATTTCCCCCCTTCTTGATGTTATTTATGTTCAGGCACAACCGAATGCATCACAGTATGATGAGCTTCTGGCAGCAGTCGAGAGAGACCTAACAGCCCATTTGGGTCCTGATAATCCTGCCCTCTCCTCATCTAGCCTTGCAATCCCTGCCACCACTGCTCCAGCTAGGTGATTTGTTCCCAGTTAGTACAAGTTGCAATGCAACGATAGGGAAGCCAATGCTGATTTCACAACCTTGGTTAATTATACTCAGGCAGGGGCAGAATCAAGTGTTGAAAAGTGGTGCACAAAATAACCAAGCGGTGTTATCCCATGTATCATTCAGAAAAAGCAAGCGTAGCGTACCATATATTTTTACAAATGCTGGAAGTGCAGTGCAGTGCAAACGGCATTCGATAGAACAAAATTTCGCACGTTGCTTCGTTATTTATTGCATCCGTTGACATACAGAACGGCGTTGGCCTGATGCTGTGTGCACGCGTAGCCAGCTAAGCTCAGAATCGAACCTTCGCGAATCTGGAAACGACATGATGCGATGCAGCCGCGCTCAGAAACGACACCACATCACATCTCAACCTCCCAATCAGTGCCCTGCTTCACATTCGGCAGCCAATGCGGCTACAGTAATTCACTCAACACTTCACATGCAGCGTGAGCTGAATCACCCAACCTCTCGGGAAAAAAGCCCTGGACCCATCATTATCAAGCTCTTTTTCGGTTTGGTTCAGGTCCAACCTGGATGACCTTTCTGTGCCATGGTGGTGGTGAGCAGTCCCGCTCAAGCTCATTCATTCGCTGTGGTCTAGCAGGCCGTCAAACATGACGTCCAAATGTACAGTACAGTAGGACCATTTCAGTTGCTGCGGTGCAGTGGCCTGGCCATTGGCTACTGGCCCTTCCCACACTGTCCATGGAAGCTTGCGTGGTGCACAGTGGCACTTGCGTCCCGCCCGCCATAGACCGGTCACGTCACCCGCGGTCACTCCCCCACCACCGTCACTCATCAATAGACTGCAAGTGCAAGCCCCAGCGTTCCTGTGCAGGACAGCGAGACATCCGATGTTCCTGAGCAGAGCAGCAAGGAGGCAAACCGAGGATGCGGGGGCATCCCGTCAGGAGCGTGGTGGGAGCGGAATTCACTTCGCAGCTGTACTGAATGTTGTTACGTGGCGGATTTCGGTCTAGTAGAGTTTCGCGTGACACAATCGCTACCTTTAGCGAAAGCTGCAACCGACACGCATTTCGAAACACACACTTCGGAAAGCTAGCCTCTCCAGTCAGTCAGATCAATCCCAGACACTTCACACACACAACCCATGCAATTCATCAATCTCCAAGCAACATTTCAGCATTAGCCCTCTGTTACGCGTATCTCAAAATACTAGCTCGTCACAAAGCCACGTGAACCTCTTCTACTGGCTTGGTTCTTACCAGGCAGTTCTTTAAATATTAGTATGTGTACAGGCTCCAACGTCGCGATTTTCGCTATTGAGCGTGCGTCGCTGAACACTTCACGGTACCAACAGTGCTGCGATGGCTAACGAGCGAGAAGATCGTGCCTTTCATCCACATTCGAGCTCTGAGGCATCCCGAAACTCGCAAGGAAATGGGGGAGGCTCTTGTGCAGACTATCCCGCACACGCCAAGCCTTCCCGTTCGCAATCCGTTCAACCCGCACCTCAGCAGCAGCATAGAGAGGAAAATATACGCCAAGCGCTGGTTCTGGAGGTGTTGCGCCGTCGCGCTTTCAATAACCACCCGCTTGACCATGGCGGCGCGGCCCTTGCTTCTGCTTCTGAAAGCCCTCGCAGAGTTGAGTCCCGCGCTTCAATGCCTAACGCCTCGCAAGCGGTGAGACAAGCTACCGCTATTGACGCCGCAGCAGCCGCTGGCCGACATTTGGACGCTGCAGCAGCCGCTGGCCGTCATTCTGACGCCGCAACAGCCGTTGGCCGTCAATCGGACGTTGTAAACACCCCTCGCCGACTTGACCAGCTGAACCCGCTTCCGCCGAGGGAAAGGTTTCAAGAGGACGTCGCTCGTCGTTTCCCCCCGCAACCGCCGCGACTCCCAAAGCAGATACCGTTGCAGCCAGCGTTGCATCTAGCGTTGCAGCCAGCGCAGGGAAGCGCGGTGCCACTGCTGACACGCCATCACGCGTCGGGTTTGGCTCGATCTTCCCCACTTACGGCGGGTTTGACGTCACCTCCACTCTCCACGCGACAAACTTCCCCGTCGCCCGTTCCGAGCGTCACTGCTACCACGACTCCTGCTCCTGCTCCTGCTACTTCGCCCAGCGACAGCGCTACTGCCGCCGCAGCTGCAGCAGACGCGTCGCCGGTTTCACCATTGACACTCCCAGCTCGCTCCAGCGGCGTTTCTTACTCACCAGCGTCGCCACCCGAACAAACCACCGCTACCACCCACTTCAGTGGCAATACCGTCCCCTTCAGCGGCCGTACCACGGACTTCACTGGCATTGTCGCTCGATCTCCGAACCTCCTACCCGTCGCGCACCGGAGCGACCCTGGTCCATCCTCGTTATTGCTATTTCCGCGTTCACCCGACGCAGCATCGGCTTCTCTCTCGCTCTCCAGCCACCCCTCTCTCTCTCCCACCAGCAGCCTCAGCACGACCAGCACCACGCTCCCCGCCGTGATTGGCGCTGCGCTCAGCCCGGCGCCATACCTTCGAACCACTGCTGCTGACCTTCAACCAGACGTTCCCCCCCACGACATTCCCCCCGAACTCCCCCCTCCCGACCTTTCCCCCCCCGACCTTCCCAGTGTCGGCTCAGCGGGAAGACCCACTGCTGTCGGCGCGTCAGTGGCGGAGGGAGGGTGGAATGCGGTGGTAGGGCGGAGTGAGGCGGAAGAAAGGGAGGCGATGTGGCGGCTGTGCGCGGAAGAGATGGCGCATCTGAAAGCGCTGCTGCTGGACGACGGCGGCGGCGGAACGCAAAGCGCGCCGCTGTTGCAGCGCGCCGAGCACGATGGCTCGCAAAGGACCGTTTCGCGCAGCGACGGCGGCTCGCACGACCCCCACCTGGCTGGGCTGTTTTCAGGAGCCGCAACGGTTCAGGAAAACCCGGACCAGACATCCGCACTACAAGCTACCCCACAGCAGCAGCAGCATCAGGAGGAAGGGCAAGGGCCTCCTCAGGGGAACGACCCCTACCGGTTGTACCTGCTGGCTGAGATACGGAAAGCGCGTGCGGCCATGCTTTCTCGTGGCGCTACTACTGCTCCTCTCGGCCACCTACAACAGGAACACGCGGGTTCACCCGGGGATCCAACGGTCAACCTCAATCACTCTGGGGCTGCGGCCCCTGAAAAGGGGGGGACAGCGGCGCGCTTCCACGCGGGAGGTGGAGGCGGGAGCGGGCGGAGCGCGATGGTCGTGTCCGCGATGCTGACGCCCTTGGGAATCGTCGCGCTCTCAACGCAAGCACGCGCCAATGCCGCTGCTTGTCTGCCGGAATCTCGTTTGGGGAACGTTGGGATGAGCGAGGAGGTGGCGGCGAGGGAAGCAACGGAAACGGCGAGGGAAGCGACGAAAGCGGCGAGGGAAGCCGAAGAGCAAGAACTGCGGGAGATCTGCAGTGCGCTGTTCTCAGCAGGAGCGCGGGAAGCGGATGGTTTCTTACAGGGCGCGCTGGGTGGGGCTGGTGGGAAGGGCGTGGTCAGGGGCAGCTCCGGTTGGGAAGTTTCGGGGTCGCGATTAGGAGACGCCGCACTCCCGGAACAGCACGCAACATTGCAGCATGGATTTCCGCAGCACATTATACCGCAGCAGGCAACACCGAAGCACGCGGCGCCGCACGCAACACCGCAGCATACACTTATCCACGACCAAGTCCCACTGCAGAGGACGATGATCACAGAGCAGGAGTCGGCGCCATTGCAGCACCTGCTAGCGGCAACGGCAACTCACGCGGCGGCTTTGGAGGCGCCGCATGAAGCGGCGCTGACCCCGCAGGAGATGATGCTGCTGCGAGACGTGCTGGCAGCACCAGCTCAGGATCACGAGGCGGCGAGGTGGATAACCACCAAATCACCCTTCGACGCGCAGCCGTCGATGGTCGACGCGGAATTCCCGCGGGGTGATTTCAAGCAGCCGCAGCGTCGGGCGTCCAAGTCCGAAGGGCAGCGCAGCAGCGGCATGGCAGGGGAGCGAGATTTGTTGACGGGAAACGCGTGGGGTGCGCAGCGAGGCGCTGTCCATCACACCGTCGCGAAGCTTGGAGCCGTGGTGGCTGGGTCGTCGGACTACGGTCTCGCAGCACCCGCAGAAACCGCAGCAGCAGCCGCAGCAGCCGCCGCAGCAGCTGCAGCTGCCGCAGCTGCCGCAGCAGCAGGCGCTCAGCTCTCCTTCAACCGATATTGCAGCAGCAGCAGCAGCAGAGGCGGTGGCAGTGCTGGGGGCGGTACTACTAGAGCCACGTCATGGTGGCCTCGTACCACTGCTGTCGGCGCGAGCGGTCCTACCGTGACCTCCGTTGGTGTCTCTAGTGTCGGTGCTGCTTGTATCGGTGCGAGTGGGAACACTTCAGCTCTCCCTTTAATTCGGCCTGCAGCGGACGCGTCACAACCGATGCCCACGAAGTTCGACCGGGCAAGTGTCGAGCCACGCCCAATGCCGGACCCCGTGCCGGCAGTAACCTTTACGCTAGAGGAACAGAACCTGCGTTACCACAGTCGTGATTCGTCGCAAGACTTCGGCGGGGAACGAAGAATCGGTGATGCAGGGGCCTGGTCGCTCTGGGTTGGAGAGCAGCCAGGTTGGAACGCTGGAGATATGGATTCAGTTCGCATCGACGGATTTCCTGGATTCTCTCCCCGGCCGGCCGCGCCGGCGTGGGATGGGCTGCGCTGTCTGGTGTGCGGCTCGGCGCTTGGCGAGGAAAACACGACGGCGGCTAGGGTGTTGTCCGACCAAGTGGGGCCTCAGGGACTGGGACAGACGATCGGATTGCGAGTCCACGGGTGTAACGATTGCCTTGGACTGCTCGTTCCGTCGTACATTCGGAGCCTGGAGTGGGGGGAAGTTCGGGAGTCAGTTGCTGTTGCTGGTTCGCGAGGAGTCCATGGGAGTGGAAATGAGACAGAAGGAAATACGAAGGATGCAGACGCGCCTGTGGGGAAAACGCGGCGGGACCTTCATCAGAAGGCTGTTGGAGCTGGAAGAAAGGAGCCTCCGCTAGAGAATGAAGCGGAGAGAGGAAAACAGGAGCATCTCGAAGGAGGGCATCCAGAACAGAGGGGACGTGCAGCCATTGCGAATGGAAAATGTTTTGGAAAGGGGGGACGAGTGTCACATTGCGCCTCGACGCGCCTATCCGTCCTCTGCGAAGTGCGACGTGCATTCGACCCCGAAAATCCCAAGGCTTGGCGATGGGAAGTGCGAAAACCCTCATGTCCCTTCGCCGTCGTCGCCTTCTTCCGGACGTCGTCGTTCGCGAGATTCGCCTGATACTGTTAGCTCGCAAGACGCAGAGGTTGCTCAGTCTGAATTTAAACGAAAGCGCATACAGTAACCAAGAGCCTTGACGACCATGAAGCGATGGCCTTTTCAAATGGTAAGGGCGTGTGTGGTCTTTGAAATTTGTGAAAGTTTATGTTTTTAGGGCGAATATGGTTCTTGAACTTATGTCGATTGTAATTTGGAGCGAAGCTCGAACATCGGGACTGCAACACTGTAAAACTGCAGTCACACATACAAGGTCGAACCCCGAAATTCGACCTTGTAAAAAACGCGCCGAGCCGCGTGACAAAATTGTAGGTTACCCGGTTCTCCTAGGTGCCTCGGATGTTGCCACGTGGCTACCAAAGAGAGCCATAATCGTGGGATGTTTTCGTTGTGCCATTTTTAACTTCGCCAATCCCTCGTCCGTTTCGCCCGCTCCTCGTACGTGCTGTAAATCACACACGCTCGCACGAACGTGCGCACGCACGTTCACAACGCCGACTCGAGTCAAGTTCACATTCCACATTCGAACTTTTGTGCGCTGTAAAATCCATCTTCTTCGCGTATATTTCTGACGAAAATATGTGACCCGGGTAACCACCTAAAGTTCGACCTTTTTCCGAACTTTAGAATAGACCACACACGCCCTAACACCCATGTCGATATTTGAAAATTTGAATGCCTGGAGGTGGGATGTTGAACATTGCACATCGAGTTTGGTTTCGCTTTGTTACACATATTTCGAAGTTCGTGGCTCTGACAAACTGACAGCGGAAGCACTTCCGTCCAGATCATTGGCTGGTCCCCAGCCCAACCAATTTCCGCTGAGTAAGGACGCGGTGCAAGTGCAAATATCGCAGGATCGTCTGCAAATATCGAGCCCCACAATCGAGTGGGCAGGTCGATTGGCGAAAATGGCGACCGCGAAGTTGTAACGATCGCCCCTTTCGAATTGACAGATCTCCCGCAATCAGTGATCAGTCGCATTCGCACTCTACAGAAATTTTGGCAAAAAAGAGAACTGTAGTATGGCTACAGCATAGTAAATAGAGTAACCAATCCGCACATCGATCGCGACTGACGATCGATCGTCTACTTTCTCCGCGTCCTAAATTAGGTTGAATACGACGCTGTGTAATTCGGAGCGGTTGCTGATGTCACCGTCTCTAACCGCTACTAACCTCTTCAAAATATGATACCTCGTCACCCCGCAAAGCCATTCACAAGGAGTTTTGTCAGCCTACCTCTCCAAGCTAGGGTTTCTAAGCTCCTCAAATCAGCTTGTGGTTTACACTTCACTACCTTCTCGCTTGGTTTACCTTAACTAAAAAAGCCTGCTATCTAAGCATCCATGTCGCGACCATACAGTCCGGACCGCGTCTACAGCCCGGAGCCTCGTCGAGGGCCCAGCGGGCGCGGTCCCCCGCCTGACAGAGACAGGAGCCGCAGTCCCCCCCCTTACAGGCGCGGACCCCCACCACGGAAAGAGCGTGTTAGTCTGCTGGTTAGGAACATTCCGAGGGATACCAGGTGAATTCTAAACTCAAATGGTTGCATATTTTCGATTTTTGCTCGTAATTAAACGTCGTTTTCCGTTAACCGTGTAACAAGTTTTGTGGGATTATCGATAGCAACCAGTGCAATCATGTCTCTCTGTTTGTGGGTTATATTTTTCAGGCCAGAGGACCTGCGCGTTCCTTTTGAGCGATACGGCCCGATCAAGGATGTCTACCTACCAAAGGACTACCACACAGGGTATGTTGGTAAATCTTCAACCCGTATCGGCTGTGTTTGCTTGCGAATGTTGTGTAGTTTATTCTTTGCGTGAAGTGAACCCACCTTAGAAAGCCTTTGTTTCTTGTCTCGCTGTTCACACTTCAGCCTTTGCGGGTTTCTGGGAATTACGGCAGGGAAGGGAAGAGGCAATTTGTTATTGGGTCAAGCTTTCAAGTCTCAGAAGTGACGAGGCTGGAAAGATGAGCTTGAAGCGAAGTGAAGCCAAGCCAAGCGAAGTTACGGAGTTGCGTGAAATCTTGCTGATTTGACGGGAAACCTAGAAGGGGCAATGGAAGTAACGAGAGGATTGCACAACACAAGTGACTCGAAGGGCACAAGCTATGAAGTGCGACCTGTGTCAGCTCATGGCGGTTCATGGCAGTTCCAGCTTGGCACAAGGACGTCAATCGCAGGTTGCATGTCACGGTGGCAGGTCGGTCATCGTCGTGTTGACCATCGTATTTCGCATTTCCTTTTTTATGTTCCTATATTTCCCCGCAACTCGCTCCCTCTCACTCTCCCTCATTATTTTTTCGATCCGTTTTCGTTCCCCCCAGTTTCTCCATTGTACCATGTCATGTGCTGGTTTGCTTTAACAATATACATTGATCGTCGTATTATAAAGGCCGCTGACATTGTTTCGCTTGCCTTCTCCCCTTGCTTTCCTGGCTGCCGCAGAGAACCACGTGGATTCGGATTTGTTCAGGTAATTTCTCTTTACCACCCTTTGTTTTCTCCTCACATTACGAACATGTTTTTCTTAGTTTTTTTTTTATGATTCTGAACAGGCTCCAATTTTGTAACTGTTTATGGTGGTGATGGTGGTGGCATGATATCGCAATCTGGTTACCAGTTCGTGAACATGGCGGATGCGGAGGACGCGCAGTACGAGCTGGATCGGACCAACTTCAATGGCAGGGAGATCACGGTCGTCTTCGCGGAGGAGAATCGCAAGAAGCCTGACGAGATGCGCACCAGGGAGCGATACAGGTCAGTATGCCATGTGTGGTCTGCCATGTGAAAATTTAAGTATTTGATCAGGGTAATCGAAGTCTCTCCGATGTCAACCAGAGAGGGATACCAATTGAGTTTGCTAAGAATCTAAAAATATTATGATTGTAACACGATCCATGCTATCTGCCTAAATCTTTCCGCTTCATGTGTGTGTGCGTGCGTGCGGATATGTGTGTCTGTGTGTGTGTGTGTGCGGGCGTGTGTGTGCGTTTTGTTGGTTTCCTTTCTAGCTCTAGGGACCGTCCATCCTTCGGTAGACGCCGTGGCTATTGTGAGTATTGAGTGAGAGACCTGTATTGCATCTTTCCCGCTCGTTTTGCGTGAAAATTCCAATGGAACGGTTTGCTTGCTGCTTCTTTTCGTTGAATCAGCATGAAGCTCTTAATGTATGTCATCCCCCCCCTCCCCGACCTCCCTCTCCTATCTCCACCACTCTTTACCTCTTCCACTGTCCGTCGTTGAACCCATTTTCCCCATCAGTTGCATATCTCTCCCTTTCTTCGTCCGCCACCCTTTCCGTGCCTGACCCTCGTTTTCCTTTCCGCTCCTCGCATCTGTTCCCTCCCTATCAGCACGATCACGCTCGCGCTCCCCTCCAGGCCGACGTTCCTTCTCGCCTCCTCCTCGCCGCCGCTCGCGCTCCCCTCCCCCTCGACGCAGCGGCCCTCCGCGCAGGTAGGATTGGTCCCTCATATGAACCATTCTCTGCAACCGTTTTTGGATGATTCCTCCACTGCAACCATCCCTGCACTGCGCGTTCTCCTCGCTTCCCTCCTGTCTTCATCGACTGCTGGGCTGGGTTATTTCAGGTCTCCTTCCGTGGTACGCCTGCTGATCATACACCTCCCCCCTCCTACACCCACGTTTTCCACTCTATCCCTCCCTCCCTCCCTCCCTCCCTCCCTCCCTCCCTCCCTCCCTCCCTCCCTCCCTCCCTCCCTCCCTCCCTCCCTCCTCCCTCCCTCCCTCCCTCCCTCTCTCACCCACCCCATCCACTACCAGATCGCCCAGCTATTCCAATGAAGATCGGGATCGCAGCTACAGCCGCTCGCCCTCACCCCGTGGCCGTGGCCGTGGGCGCTCCCCTCCTCCGCCTCGCAATGGCAGCGCCGGCGCTCCACCTAGGCAGGTGGTTTGAGACTATCCCAACCCCCTCTCCTCCCTTGAGTTTTGAGGCGCCTCAAATTTCTGGTGTTCCACCTAGGTAGGTGGTTAGAGGTTATTCTAACACCCCCCACCCCATGACAAGTGCTGGCTCACAGTATTGGTGTTTACTCCACGTGTGTTCATGTGCCCTCCGCATAAATGCTAGTGTGCTCTCCACATGTGTGGTTTCCCTTTTCCACAAGGTAGGGTCATGATGTTGGGATGTCTCGTCCTGTAACAGACTTGAGGAATTGTGGTAGACATTCTAATTTTGTTCCTGCTGTGTTTCATTTCTTGCTGTCTTTGTCCGTTTCTTTAAAAAACTTTCTCCTTGACAGGGGCCGGAGTGGTAGTGCTGGTGGAGCTGCAGCAGGTGGTGAAGGTGGGCCTAGCAGGCCTTAATGCTGGAGAAAATTGAGTGGCACTGAATGCTGGTTCACCTCGCACTACAATAAAAATCGAAGTGGACCAGATTTGATCTTATCTTACTGACGGCCTTGGCTGGCATGATTCTTTTCGTTCGAGGTTCTGTGGCTGGTTGACAAGACATATGTATACATGGCAGATTGAATGTGCCTGTATGTAGTACCAGTAGGTTATGTGTGCTGGTATGTAGCAAGTTGAAGGATCTTGCACTGCAAGTAATAAACTAATGTACCTAATTGCTATGGTGGAGGCAATTCAAAACAGCTGAACTAGCAGGCTTGTGTTGGCATCACTGAATGAGCGTAGCCCTGCTGGTTTAACCACCATGCGACACAGAGGGCAGGTCCGCTCCCTTTCAAACCTGCCATGGATGGATGAGTATGGAAATAACTAGTTAATACAGAAACTACAACGCACTGTACCAACAGTCATGAAAACGGGTGAAACAGAATGAGGTTCACAGTGCATTACCACCAACGCGATTGATGATACAGCACACCTGCTGCTGACCATTTCATGACTACTAGATAACCAATGAATCGTAACTTACCATTCAGAGACACATTCGTCGCAGAACACGTGGCGGCATCGCAGCGTGACAGGGCCTGTCATGTGCTCCTGGCAGATGGCACACATGTTGCCGGCTGCTGCCACCTGGTGGGGCAAAAAGGAGGAAAGAGAGAAAAAGGTGCAAGTATGCACATTCCCGAATATGAACGCTGGTCAGCCCAGGATCAGCATGAATTGGCAGAAACAGCAGGAGAGAGAGGGGTGAAAGGAGGCCGTGAAACACATTTGAGCCAATGTGAGGTGATGAGCTCATAGTGATGCAGGTCAGGGATACAGCCGCATGCAGTCAGAACCAGTCATACCGAGCAAACACGCCCTCGACAGCCAAAGAACCTTCACAGAAACTGTCCAATCAACCTATTGAAACTGTCCTACTTTGGCTCAAAAATCGTTTCACAAACCCCATACCATCTCGGGTGCTTGAGTGCAATAGTTTCTCAGTTTCCTCTGTTCACTCACCTGGAGCCACATCGCTCTGCTGTCTCCTCTGCCTGCAAGCAGAGTCCACCACATGGCCATTCGTCCCCTCCCCTAGAATGGCCATGTGTACTCTGCTGTGACCATACACACCTAGCTAGCTGTGGCCGGAGTGCCATACTGCTTTTGGAATCTTTCCCCTTCACCAAAAAGCATACCTCGTCAGGCGTGGCCTCGGTCCCATACTGCTCGCCTTTCCCAACCGCTTGGCGAACAGCGGACACAAAGAGGAGCACCTGGCGCACAAGGGGAGAGAGGTTTGATTCAGTATTTGGATTAACTGAAAAAATCCCAGAGACTGTAAATCCGTGGAGACAAAGAGCGGCACCTGTCGCACAAGCGAAGAGAGTGAGGGACTGTAGAGGGGACAGCCAGCAAAACAGAAAATATTGTGAAACTAATGAGCATGGTTCTAAGATAAACAAGAGGAGTGACCGACCATGACCTTCAACTACTGAGTAGCTGTTGACGAATTGTTGAGCATGGCTCAACGATACACAACAAGTAGAGGGAATCAAAGAGACTTGACACAAAAACAGCAGTACAGCAATGAGAAGAATCCATTGAGAACGAGTGACACTTCTGAGGCGCCAGGCGACGAGCTTAAACAATGAATGCGCACAAGTGACGTCGCCATATCGTACCAGGTGATATGAGAAGCATACCCTGTCGAGTGAGGTGGAGAGCTCAAGGCGCGGTAGAGTCCAGCAATGAGGAGGCGGTGAGTCGGCCATACAACTAGTTATCTACTTTTGAGGCGCCTAAGGAAAGATGACGAGAGCAGCATGCCATACCCTGTCGAGCGAGGTGGAGAGCTTGAACGCGAGGTAGAGCCCTGCAGTGAGGGAGGCGGTGAGGCGGCCGTATGCCTGGTCGTTGAGAAAGAACTGGAACCACACAGGTGCCGGCACCCAGGCCCGGTAGAGGAGCGACGTGTACTCCACTAGGGTTAGGACCTGCGCCTGGTGGGGGAGAGAGGAGGGGGGGAGGAGGAAAAAACAATCATACAGCTAAGAACAGACTGGCAAGAAACCACATGGGTGCCGGCACCCAGGCACGGTAGAGGAGCGACGTGTACTCCACTAGGGTTAGGACCTGCCGCCTGGTGGGGGAGAGAGGAGGGGGGGAGGAGGAAAAAACAATCATACAGCTAAGAACAGACTGGCAAGAAACCACATGGGTGCCGGCACCCAGGCACGGTAGAGGAGCGACGTGTACTCCACTAGGGTTAGGACCTGCGCCTGGTGGGGGAGAGAGGAGAGGGGAGAGGAAGGAGTGAGGCGGTGAGGGAGGCGGCGAGGGAGGCGGGTGAGTCGGCCATAGGCCTGGTCATTGAGAATGCTGGGAAATTTGGAGAATTTATAAAAATTTGGAACCACATGGGTGCCGGCACCCAGGCCCGGTAGAGGAGCGACGTGTACTCCACTAGGGTTAGGACCTGCGCCTGGTGGGGGAGAGAGGAGGGGGGGAGGAGGAAAAAACAATCATACAGCTAAGAACAGACTGGCAAGAAACCACATGGGTGCCGGCACCCAGGCACGGTAGAGGAGCGACGTGTACTCCACTAGGGTTAGGACCTGCGCCTGGTGGGGGAGAGAGGAGGGGGGAGGAGGAAAAAAACAATCATACAGCTAAGAACAGACTGGCAAGAAACCACATGGGTGCCGGCACCCAGGCACGGTAGAGGAGCGACGTGTACTCCACTAGGGTTAGGACCTGCGCCTGGTGGGGGAGAGAGGAGAGGGGAGAGGAAGGAGTGAGGCGGTGAGGGAGGCGGTGAGGGAGGCGGTGAGTCGGCCATAGGCCTGGTCATTGAGAATGCTGGGAAATTTGGAGAATTTATAAAAATTTGGAACCACATGGGTGCTGGCACACAGGTACGGTAGAGCAGAGTTGTGTACTCCACTAGGGTTAGGACCTGCGCCTGGTGGGGGGAGAGGGGGGATGGGTGGGAGGGAGGGAGAGAGAGCGGGGGATAGGGGGATACAATGATACTCCATGCAGGTTAGTATCTGCGCCTGGTGGGAGAGAGGGAAGCTATGAGGGAGAGAGGGAGAGTGATGGAGAGAGTTACAAGACAACAAATGGTAACCACACGGGTGCCGGCACAAAAGCATGGTCTACCGGGGATGTGTATTTTACACGAGGGCTGGAATCTGCGGCTGGTGATAAGGGACGGGTGAGAGAATGAGAGAGAGATAGAGAGAAGAGAAGGTTGGTACACTGAGAGCAGACCCTTGCTGCAGTGGTGTGCAATGAACGAGGATGGTGCTGCATGGTGCTGCATGGTGCTGCGTGCTGCAAGGTGCTGGATGTCCCAAAACGCACTCCCTACCTGGTGGCGATTGTGCAGGCCCTTGCTGCGGCGGTGAGCAACGTAGTGACTTTCGAGTCGACACAAACGGCACTCGCCACCCTGACACGCCGTGCATACCTGGTGGCGATTGTGCATCCCCGTGCTGCGGCGGTGAGCAACGAGGATGCCACACTTCACTGCCATGGCCATGAAGCGCACCAGCACGTCTGATGGGCAGGCAGGAGGGGATGGGGGAGTGGGACAAACAATGTGGAGCAACGAGGAAGCCGCGAGAATGCAACGAGGAAGCCGCGAGAATGCAACGAGGAAGCCGCGAGAATGCAACGAGGAAGCCGCGAGAATGCAACGAGGATGCCACACTTCTCTGCCATGGCCGCGAACCGCACCAGCACGTCTGATGGCAACCACATGTTTGATCAGGGGTGGGGAGAGGGGAAAGGAAGATTAGCGGTGGAAAATAGGCGAGGTGAAATGCAATTTCGCACAGACAGTTTTCTTGTTAAGATTTGTGAGACGGTTTCCTTTCAGATTTTCATTACTGAAGTGAGTTAACAGATTTGATACTGAAATCAACACCTTATAGCAGATTTGACATAGCATCCGTAAGAACATACACAAAACATGCAGTTTTCGAACACTCACCATTTGTGACTATAATGAAGAGAGCATGCCAGAAAGGGGGCACTTCAGCAGGCGGTATGAGCAGAAGTGGTCTCCACAGCTGCTCGGGCCAGAAGAGCCAATTAACAACTGCCACGTGTGCAAGCAGCAGCACAGCTGCCAGTGCCAGCAGCACCGGATTGCGGTCCGCCTGGCAATAAATTCGGGGGAAGAGGAAGGAAGGGGAGGTGGAAGAGGAGAACGCGGAGACGCAAAGGGAGGGGAAGGAGAGCGTGAACGGGAGGGGGAGGAGAGGAGCAAGGGAGCGGGAGGGGGAGGAGGAGGGGGAAAGAGAAGCAAAGGGCGATGGGGGGAGTATGAGCAGGGCACGTGGGGAAGGTTCACGGAGAGGGTGTTGCACGGTTCTTATGACCTGAAGGGTGTGGCACGGTTCTTATTACCTGACGGTGACAGCATGTTAAGTGGTTCTTATAAGGAAGGGGTGACAGTCAGACAGACGGACAGCAATGTACCTTGAGTGCGCCCTGTTTGCGGATGAAGTCGTTGGCCTTGAAGAGCGTCGCTGTCAGCCACACGACGGTGCAGAAGCCTGTGTGGGGAGAGGGAGAGCACAGAAAGATACACGTGTGTGCTGGTGAGTTGGTGTGCTGGTGAGTTGGTGTGCTGGCGTGCCGGCGTGCTGGCGTGCTAGCATGCTAGCGCGCTGGCGTGCTGTGAGTTGGTGAGTTGGTGCACGCATGCATGCCAACACAACCACGCATGCTTACCCTCATACCCACGCATGCATGGCAACACAAGCCCAAACGCCAATTGCGCTTATTCTTCGATTGCCCACGCACACAACGCCAGCTGAATCTGCTCTTGTGCTGACCAGCCTCACTCCCCACTCACCAATCAGGTGCTGCCTCACTCCCCACTCACCAATCAGGTGCTGCCTCACTCCCCACTCACCAATCAGGTGCTGCCTCACTCCCCACTCACCAATCAGGTGCTGCCTCACTCCCCACTCACCAATCAGGTGCTGCCTCACTCCCCACTCACCAATCAGGTGCTGCCTCACTCCCCACTCACCAATCAGGTGCTGCCTCACTCCCCACTCACCAATCAGGTGCTGCCGGACTTGCACGAAGAGCAGCAGGAACGCGAACGGCACGGCCTGCTCCAGGCTCCGCGCAGCCAGGTGCATGTCCGACCCGCGCGTTACCGTCCCCCCTCCGCCTCCGCCTCCGCCTCCGCCTCCCCCTTCCCCTCCCCCTCCTCTCGCCCCTTCGTCCGTGTCCTCACCAGGGTTGCCACCAGTGGGACTCCCCCTCTGTGTCTCCGACCGTCCCTCTGCCGCTCCAGCTGCTCGCCCTGCTCCTCCCCCTCTTGCTCCTATGATTGCCATTGCCGCCGCTTCCCCTGCGGCGTCGCTTGCCGTCTCTGATGAATCACCTTCGCTCCCTGCTGTCCCTGTTACCGCTAACACCCCCGCTTGTCCTGCCGCTCCTGCTGCCCCTGCTTCTGCCGCTCCTGCTCCTGCGCCACCTTCTGCTCCTGTTCCTGCTCCTGCACCTGCTCCCACTGCTGATGCTGTTTCGGCTTCTCCTGCCGATCCCCTTCCTTCAACCGTTCCTCCAACTCCACCCGCTGCACCATGCGCTCCGTCTCTCCGTCTCTCTTCCCCCCTCCCTTCCACCCCTCCCAAGTCCACATCCAGCCGAATTTCCCCGCCTGCGTCGCTCTCCCGCCTCTCCGCTCCCTCTATTAAGCTACCCGGAAGTGACAATAACGAAGGCGAGGCGTGCAAAGCGGCGGAGGATGCGGGGAGAATTGCCATCTGGGATGGAGTTGGGGGGGAAGTGAGACTCCGGAGACTGAAAGGCTCGCCATTGGTCGACGATACTGCCACGTGGGCATCGTACGGGCCGTCGCTGAATGGGTGGCGGAGTCTCATAAGGACGGGCAACCCTGAAACGGCATCCCCGTTGGCGGAGAAGATGCTCGGGTGCGCGGAATCTCCCCCTTGTCCTTCTTCCCCTTCCCCTTCCCCACGAGTTTCCCCGCGCGCGCGCGCTTCCCCCTCGTCCTTCCACGTGGCAATCATCTACTCGTTCTTGATCGGTGACCGTCGCAGAACGCTCGGCGCGCTTCTGAGAGGCGGGTGCTATCGCTGGAGGAGGCAGCGGCGGCAACTGCGGAGGGTGCGACCGCGTGACACGTGGCCCTTCTCCCGTCTGTCCTTCAAAAGGTCCACTAGTTCCTAGACCTGGTAGATTTCTCGTAGTTTCTGAATTCGAGTCAGAAAGGATGAGCGGGAGGCTACCGCTTGTAGCGGATCGACTGCTTTGTAACGGGTTTGGCTGGCGAGAAGAGGGGACTGGCCGGGATTTCGACGCACAGGAGCAGCGCGCTGATCTGAGCCGAAAAACGCGGAGGAGAGACCGAGACTAAGCGCGGATAACGGCGGAGATCCCGCGACGGTCGACAAACGCGGTGGAATAGGATGCTGCTCTTCTTGATCCGAGTCCGAAGCGCTGACAAACTGACCGTTTTCGTGCGCCTGCTGCCGTTGAGACTGCTGGCGTGGCTGCTGACGTGGCTGCTGCTGCTGAAGCTGACGGCCGTCAGTGCTGTCAGATAGCCATTGCGGAAGGAGCTGGTGTCGCTCCTGCATTGTCTCGTTCGGGTGCTTGACCACCGCGTCGTCCGCTGGAGGCTGGGCTCTTCTCCGCTAGTTGCGGCGAAGGATTCTAGACAACGCTTCGATGGGGGAAAATCTCGAACCAAAACATGGTCAACACATTGCTGGTGGAATCATGCTGAGTCGAACCGCTACGGATTCCAGGCCCTGTGACCCTGGGTTGACTCGGACTAGACGGAACTGGCGGGTTTCTGCTGCCATGGCTACTTGCTGCTACTGTTGATGTGGATAAACTTCTCAGGATCCACCATTTGATCGTACCTTGTGTAACTAATGTTGGTGGTAACTACAAGAAAGGGTTAAAAATTATGCAAGGGACATCTGAAAGGCACTAACTCTAACTGAAACTTACTTTATATGACAAAATTCTGGACTCCAACCAAAGAGACAGAATTTCAGGGAACTATGAAGCTTGTTTTACTGGTCGAAGGCGCACGAGCATCCGTACGAGTCGAGGCGCTAACAGGGTTTTCTGCTCAGGTTTTTGCCATCATAATCTAGCGACCACCTTAGGAATCTGAAATCCCTCAAATCTCGTGTGTGTGTGCCTGATATGATCTCCTTCAACGGCTCGTTGAGAAGGCACAAGCACACTCCAACCTCGTCGGACATGTGTTGCAATTATCTGTCAACTGCTGGACTTGCACGCTTTGCTCCTGTGACCTGTCTCCAGCCCTCATGCTCACTGATGCTTCCTCTGGCAAAAACTTGACGGAATGACGGAGTGACGGGTGTGTGACAGAACTGGACAGAACTGACGGAAAAGAGACGGGAAGTGGGGGGGAACGCGTAGGTCTGCGGTATCCAGTTCCGCGTTGGCGCAGGTTTTGCGCCACGCGCGTTCTTCGGGAGCCCATCAAATTCCGCGTAAAGCAAGCCGCTGACCAGTAAGCTGCACTTGTCCTCGGAGCGGACAAATCGACGGGAGTCGCGCCTTTTCCAACTGGGTTCGGTCGTTCGGACGCGCCACCGGAAGGCTAGCCCAGCCCACGTCAGAAAGTGAACTCCGCTGACGGGGTCACGGTTTCGGAGCTGGAGGATGTCGCTGAGGGATACTGTTTCGAATTGCCTGTGGCAAGAGGCGGGAAAACGGGGTAGGATATTTTTGTGCGTGGAACTGCTGGGTTTGGAGCAATTCTCTCGTTGCTTCGGTTCGGTGTGCTCCGCCTTGCAGCTCGGGCGCTGGGAAGATCTGACAACTGCGCGCGTACAGCGACGTTCGCAAGCTCGAGGCAAGGAATTTGGTTCGGTGGCCTTCCTGGCATGGTAGCGACCATGTTCCAGGAGTTTCTGAACGATTTCAGGCGCAACAGTGGTTCGAATGTTCTTTCAAAACACTACAACCTCACTTAAGGCTTCAACGATCTCCTAATAAAGTTCGCCACCAAATTTGCCTGCCACACAGGTCATCTCGCCTTCCTAATATAGTCAGGAAAAAAACGAAATTCATTTTCTACTCCTGCGCAGCAACCTTGAGCGCAAGAGTGAGGTCATTCCAAGCTTGCCTTGGCATACAGCTGGTGCTTCACAATCTCCACCGAGTCCCTCGCGCCACACGCGCCCGTCGCCGCATCCTCCGCGTCCCACCGTGTTGAAAATCACAAACGCGGCGATGTGAAATAAACCTCACGCTCTGTGGGCTCGTGCCTGTAAAGCAGGTTCCCCATGCGTCGCCCCCCGCCAGAAGCCTTGGCGGCAGCAGGGGGAGTGGGGGAGCAAGCAGAGGAGCTGCTGCTGCTGCTGCCAGGGGTGCTGCTGGTTGCTCCAGTGGTGTCGCTGCTGCTGCTGCCCGAAGGTTCCTTCTCCTGCCATAGCCTACCCACGACCCGCCATTCGTCCGTTCGGCTGTCGGCTCCTGTGATTGGGGAGTGCAGATTGGAATGAGGGGAAGGAGTGTGGGGTGGTGGATGGCAGGGAAACGGGGGGGGAGGAGGGGAGGGGAAGAGCGGAGGGGAGGAGGGGAGAGAAGGAGGGGGAAGGAGGGTTTTGGCAAGGAGAGAGGGGGGAGGAGGGGCCCAGGGGGGCGGAGATGATTTGTGGTTCAGAACGGATGCTCCGTCCCTGACGCATTCACACCAGATACTCACAGGCAGATGCGGGGAAGACGGATGGGAGCGGGCAGCAGGCGCACAGAACGGCACATCAGATGGCGTTGAGGGCCCTTTCGGACAGCAGTTTGGCCACCAGCCGTGAGCAGCCCCTGCAGGCGCTTCCACAGTGACGCCGCCACCATGGCTGTGGCCTCCATGCGCGTGAACGCCCTCAGCAGCACCTCCAAGTCTTCGACTAGTTCGTCGGAGCCAACTGCCAGCGCTCTCTGGAGAATGGAAGGGGTGGAGAGGGGTGGGGATGGATGAAGCACAAGAAGCTGCCACCATGGCTGTTGCCTTTTGAGGAAATTCGGAATCCACCAGCTCGGGAATCCCACGTAACAGCAAACCAGCCTACCCCCATGACTCACGATCGTCCAGCCACTGCCACATGCTGGAAACCATGCCCGCCACGCGCTGCCTCTGCTCCGCAACCGGCTCCTCTCGCCCCCCCCTGGTCGCGACCCAACAGCAGCACAGCCGACGAGAAGCACGTCGCCAGCAGCTGCCCCAGCAACTCCTCCGGTACCACCGTGTCTAAGTAGTGCAGGATCTGATGGGGTGGAGGGGGGTGGAGGTGGGTGGAGAGGGGTAGAGGAGGGTTAGGGTGGAAGAGGGGGGTGGAGGCTTAGTGCCTGCATTTCAGCAAGCTGCCCCAGCAGCTCCTCCAGTACCACCGTGTCCAGATAGTGCAGGATCTGATGGGGTGGCGGGGGGTGGAGAAGGGTGCGATGGGGGGCGGGAGGGTGTGGGGCAAAGAAGGGAGAGGGGGGAGTGCAGAGGGTTAGTGTCTGCGTTGCAACAAGCTGCCCCGTCAGCTCCTCCGGCACCACTGTGTCTAAGTGGTGCAGGATCAGGATCTGATGGGGTGGGGTGGGGTGGGTGAGTAGGTGAATCAAGTGGATCATTTCAAGAAGCTGCCCCAGCAGCTCCTCCGGCACCACTGTGTCCAGATAAAGCAGCATCTGGAGGGGGGTGATGAGGAGGGGGGGGGGGAGGGGTTGGATGTGAGAAGGGTGAAGAGTCGGGGATGGGAAGAGTGGATCAGGTGGGCGTAGTATTTGCATGTCAAGAAGCTGCCTCAGCAGCTCACCCTCTTTCCCCCATTCCCCTCACTCACCCCCCTCCCCTCACCTTCTCGCACTCAAGGTCAAAGCGGAAAAAACTTTCCCCCATTCCCCTCACTCACCCCCCTCCCCTCACCTTCTTGCACTCAAGGTCAAAGCGGAAAAAAATAGGCCGCTGCTCGTGAGCAGGATCACGCTCAGTGCTGTCGGACTAGCCTTCCCCCCACACCCCCTCACTTCCCACATTGCCCACTCTCGCCCTTCATGCCCCGCACCTTCTCGCCGTCGAGGTCAAAGTGGAAGATGGGTCGCTGCGCATGCGCAGGTTCAGGCTCAGCCCTGTCCTGCAGCTTTGAGTCAACTCGAATTTTGAGTCAACTCAAATCTCCCCTCAGCCCTCACCTTCTCGCCCTCCAGGTCGAAGTGGAAAATAGGCCTCTGCTCATGAGCAGGTTCAGGCTCAGCGCTGTCCCACAGCTCGCGCCACAGGTTGCCATGCACCTCCTCCATGCGCTCCGACAGCCGGCCCCTCGGCGGCCACCCCGACCCATCCACGCGGTGCCGCCGCCGCCTGCTCCCACCGGCCCCACCAGCACCTCTCCCACTGCCCCCTCCCACTGCCGCCCCCTCTCCTCTCCCGCCCCTGCGCCCGCCACGCTCGTGCTCCTCGCTGTCCCGCCGCCCGCCCCGCCTCCTGACGTCATCGTCCCTCCAGTCGCGCTCGTCATAATCATCACGATCATCCCGGTCCCGGTCGTCTCGGTAACGGTCGTCACGGTCGTCGCGCCTGTCTCGGCCGCGCGCCGCTCGCCAAACTCGTCCCACTCCTCGCGGTCGTCACTGTACTCCCCGTCCTCTCGCCCCCTGCCCCCCCTGCCCCTTCCCCTCTCCCTCTCTCTCTCCCTTTCCCTCTCCCTCTCCCTCTCTGGGTCACTGTCAGGTTCTGGGCTTCGGTACCTCTCCCTCTCCTCCTCCCTCCTTTTGAGCTCTTCCCTATCCCTACCTCTCTCCCTATCGCTCTCATCCCTCTCCCTCTCCCTATCGCTGTTGTCCCTGTCCTCCTCCCTCTCTCCTTTCTCCACAGCTTTCTTACTCCCTTCCACCCTCGGCTCATCCCCTGAACCACCCTCAACCTCAATCTCTTTCACACCCTCCTTCTCCACTCCTTTCCCACCATCCGCCACACTCTCCCCTACCTCTTCACCCTTCTCTTCCTCGCCTCCCTTCTCCCCATCCTCCACTTTCTCAACGCCATCCTCCTTCCCAGCATCTCCACCCGCCCCTGCTGCCTGCCCCTCACCAGCCACCGTATCTCCAGACTTCTCTTCCTGAGCCGCTTCAAAAAACTCATCTTCTTCCTCCTTGTCCTTCCCGGGACTGCTGCTGCGGCGGCGAGAAGGAGAGCTCTCCTTCTCCTCGTTCCCACCGCGGGTTCCATCCGGGTCTAAATCAGAGTCCCCTTCCCTCGAACTCTTGCCTCCGCCACCATACTCTCTGCCCTCCTCCCTCTCCCTCTCCCTCTCCCTCTCCCTGCTCCTATCCCTGCCACCAGCCTTCCTATCCACCTCCCTGTCAATGTCACTCTCTTCCGTGTCACGCCCTCTCTCTCGCTCCCTATCTCTCCCTCTCCCTCTCTCGCTCCCTCTCCCTATCCATCTCCCTGTCTGAATCATCATCATCACCATACCTCCCGCTCTCCCCATACCTCCCGCTGTCACTGAACCTCCCACTCGCGTCCCTAAAGCTATCATCCCTGTCCCTCAGGCTATCATCCCTCCTGTACCGCTCCTCCTCTCCCCTTCCGTACCTGTTGCCTCCTCCCCTTCTGTACCTGTCCTCCCGATCCTCATACCGGTCGCCCCGGCCGTACCTATCATCATCATCCCTCCCGTACCGCCTACCACCATCGTCATACTCATCATCGTAATCATCCACGTCATCAGAGCCCTCATCCGCGCTTGTGATTGGCAGCCAGTCGTTGGGCGAGTGCCAGCGCACAAAGTCCTCTAGCACTGCCCGGGGTTTGCAGCTTTGAACGCCGACATGTCTGGAGGAGAAAGGGTAGGAAGAGCATGTGTGTGGGGGGCCGGGGTGGGGAGGCGCTAAGCTATTGCTTTGAATGCTCAACGCCCGCGGAGGCGAGAATGCAGATTGCGCGCTAGAGAGCAGAGATGCACCGGGGCAGCGCAAGAGAGAAAGGGCAAGAAGCATGACGGAAAATCAGAAACAGAAGAAATAAAGGAAAAGAGAGAAAGCAGAAACAAAGACGAAAAAAAAAAAGTTGACTAGACGAAGAACGGACTATACCTGAAGCAACAACGTCACTCTGCATGCGAGCTCGAGTTTCACGCCCCTGCGCACATGACACACGAGCAGACAGACAAGGCAGATGTTACAGTTAGAGCACATGCACTACACAGTACACCCACACATCCACTCACACGCAGCAGCCACATGTTGCCCTTCACTGGCCCCGCTACCCCTAATAAAGACTCACCCTGCCCCCCCCTCTCAGCGAGCTACCAAGTGACTAACCTTGCTTGCAAGTAACCAACCTTCTTACCGCAGGCGCGCTACCAAGAGCCTCCATGGCTCGCTCCTTCTCCTCGATCAATTCTTCACTCATGAACGTCGGGTCCTGGGTGTGTGGCTCCAGCATGCGCCGCCTCACACGCAGCAGCCACATGTCTCCCTTCACCAGCCCCACCACCCCCTGACAAATGACTCACCCCCCCAGAAACTACCAAGAGCCTACATCTGTGGCGCCTCAAGCTGACTCCAACTGAGATGACACAACGGAGGGAACCACTCACTGACACTCACCGCAGGCGTGCTCCCCAGAGCCTCCATGGCTCGCTCCTTCTCCTCGATCATATCTTCACTCATGAACACCGGGTCCTGTGTGTGAGGCTCCAGCATGCGCCGCCTCACGCGCAGCAGCCACATGTCTCCCTTCACCGGCCCCACCACCCCCCGCCTCCGCACGCGGCGCCGCCCCCTCGCCATCGCCCCCGTGAGGCCGTGGCTCGTGCGGCCCCTCTCCGCCCAGGTGTCGTCGTCCGATACGTCGCTCTCGCTGAAATATCTGTGGGTTGTGTAGGCAGGCAGGCAGTGGGTGGGTGGGTGGGTGGTGGATGGTGTGTGGTGAATAAGTGAGGAGTGGATTGAGTGTTGCTGCCTCAAGGGCTGAATGAGGCGCACGGCTCATGCAGGCCCCTCTCTGCCCACTTCTCCAACGCATCGCATGGGCCCAGCCCCCTCCCTGCTCACGATACACCATCCACTCCCCTCCCCATCGCAAACCATCCACTCACCCCCACTTCCCCCCCTCTATTCCCCTCAAGCACCACATGCTGCACTCACTCATCAAGGTCCTCTTCGCTGCGGTGGGAAGGCGAGTCGCCATCAGCCACACCCCCCTCATCATAGAACGCCACGTCGTGCGACCCGTGCGTGTCCGAGTCCCCCGAGGCCGTCTTGTCGTCGTGGTATGGGCTCGCCCCGTCGCCATTGTCCCACCCGCGTCCTCCCCGCCCCCGGCCCGCCCTTCCATCATGCCAGCCGCCTCCTTCACTCCCAGACCTCTCCATCCCCTCCCACTCCTCCTCATCCCTCCCACCCCTCCTGTCACTCCCCCTCCCTCCCCTCTCCCTCCCGCTGCCTCGCCTCCTGCCGCCCCTCCCTGGCGGCGAGTCAGCGCGAGCCGGGCCGTCGTCGAGTGCTGTACCCCTTACAAGCTCCTCCACGCGCTCGCCTACAAGCTTGGCGGCGGCGATTTGGTGCATGCGCTCGGCGTGACGCATGCGCTCCTCCATTTCCCGCTCCTGCTGCTTGCGCCGCCGCTTAATGCACTCCTGCAGCTGCACGGGGAAAGGGGATGGGGGGCGAAGTGAGAGAGGATAACAGAGGGAGAGATCATTTCAATACCGGCTCAGGAGCTGAACGGGGAAAGGAATTACGGGGTGGTAACGGGGAAATGGGTGGTAAAAAGAAATTAGAGGAACATTCAGGGATGCAAAAACGACAGCAACCCTGCCAGCTGCATCTCTGAGAGACAGTGTGGGGAGAATGTGGCGTCTTAAAGCCACGTACCAGCTGCAGCTTCTGGTGGATGAGGCAGGTGGCGGTGTTGGGGCCCGTCTGCAATGACTCGAGGGATGGGCAGCGCCTGCTCCCAGTTCCACCTCAGCTCACGCGTGAACTCCAGCCACAGCGCCGCCACAGCTGAAAGAGGGCCAGAAGGGAGTGCAAGGGGGCAGAGGGTTAGGGATGAGAGAGCAACGAGAGGGGACGCGGCAAGTGTCCTGTTCCCAGTTACACCTCAGCTCACGTGTGATGTGATGTGAACTCCAGCCACAGCGCTGCCACGGCTGGAAGGGGGACAGAGGTGAAGGAACAAGGGGGCAAGGCATGGAATTCTCACAAAAGGAATGCAGCTCGTGCATATGACGCGGCTGCAATCAAGAGGGATGGCCCAGATGCCATGACTAGCGCTACTATGTTTGGCGACTTGAGCGGCGAAGGGGCGGGTGGTAGCCAAACATAGTAGCGTTATTCATGGCATCTGGGCCATCCCTCTTGATCACAGCCGCATCATATGCACAAGCCGCCTCCTCTCCCCGTGGCAGTTTCACCGCAGCTCGCGAGTAAATTCCAGCCACGGCTGGGGGACATGAGGGGAAAAGGAAAGGAAGGGTTTTCAAAGAGCAAGCGAAAGATACCCGAGGCCACAGGTGGCATGGACGAGGCGGGCGGGGGTGGCTCACATCTGATGTTGCAGGTGCCAAAGCGCAGCACATGCAGAGCGAGGCGGGAAAAGAGCGAATCCACCGGCGCAGCCTTGCCAATGTGCGTCGCCCCCTTGAACTTGCCACTCAGCCCATTCTCCTCCACCCCTTCTCCCCCTGCACCTTCTGCTCCGCCTCCCTCCGCTCCTGCCCCCGCTGCTCCCTCTCCCCGGGACCCTTCACCCCACTGCCAGTGGCGCTGGTGTCGGTGGCGCTGATGCTGCTGATGACGCTGCTGGCGGTGGTGATGGTGCCACGGTCAGCGTCAGGCAGCAGGCTCGCCTCCTGCTGTTCTGACGCCTTCCCCATGTACTTCGCCACTGACGCCAGCGCCTCCTCTGCATGGGTGAAGATGGAACGGACGGGAGCCAGGAGAGCGGGGAGGGTGGGCGGTTGCCAGGAGGAGGGTGGAGTGGAGAGTTAAGTCGTGTGTGCAGGAAAGGAAAAAAAAAAAAAAAACTGGCCTCCTGCTACTCTGACACCTTCCCCATGTACTTCGCCCCATGGACACTGGGAGCGCTTTTGATGCTTATAAAGAGCGCAAATGTGCAACTCACGCTCCATGACATGGGGCGTGGTTTTGAGGCGCCTTCAACCTTCAAAGGGTTTGTATGCGCTACAGAAAGAGCTCAAGGGTGCCACTCACTGGAGTGGAAGAGGTCCTTGACCACTCGCTCCATGACACTGGGCGGCGGGATGGTCATGTTGTTGCGCCGCGCAAAGTTCTGAGCTGTGATGGGGGAGAAAGAGATGTGGAGCAACAAGACGAGGCAGGGGAAAGAGAGAGAAGAGAACGGGGACGAGATGTGAGGAGCAGAGAAGAGTAAGGAGAGAAGGAGATGCACGATATGAACACCTCCATAAGCAATGGACTTTCCACGGGTACACCAGCCAGCAGCTCGACAGTAATGAATAACAAGATATACTCATATACACCACATACCCGCTATAAAGTCTTCCATGTACTGGCCTGTGGTGGACACCACGTACGCCCCCAGCAGTGCATGCAGCCGTCCAGCAAAGCCCTGAGGGGGGTCGTCACTGTCAAAGTCAGTCCTGCAGGGAGCAGAGGGGAGGTGTGGGAAAAAGAGTGAAAGAGAGGATAGGTGAAGGAAGCAACAGGTGGTTCAAGGGGAGACGTCTTGCCTGCTGGGAGTGAAGGGAGATGCCTCAACTAGAGGGGAAAAGCAGTGCCCTCACCTGGTGGGGGCGAGCAGTGCGCGCAGCAGCCACTCATCCGCGGTAGTGGCATCGAGCTGCTCCATCTGGGCCATGCCTGACGAACTACTCGCCCTGAGCTCCTTCCACGTGGCCACCAGCTCAAACCCCTTCACCGGATCGTCCACCGAGTGCCACACACTCCACGCCATGCCCTCGTCCCACGCCCTCTCCTGCCCCCAGAACTCGTCCTCCTCCTCCACCCCTGCGCCTGCGCCCTCCTCGCTCCCCGCGCCTGCGCCTGCTTCTGCTGGGCGGGTCTTGGAGGGCGGGGGCGCGTCCGGGGAGCCCCAGTAGCGGAGGCGGTAGCGGATGCGCATGGCCACGGTGACGTCAGGGGACACTGATGCTACGGTGCTGGGGAGCTCTGCTATCTGCATGTGTGCAAGGGAGGGTGGGGTGGGGGGAAGGGGAGGGAGGCATGGGGAGAGGGAGGAGGCGGAGGGGAGGAGGTGGAGAGGGAAGGGAAGAAGGGCGAAAGGGAGGAGGGAAAGAGGGGAGTGACACGGATGAATGGGGAGCCCCAGTAGAGGAGGCGATAGCGGATGCGCATGGCCACGGTGACGTCAGGGGACACCGACGCTACGGTGCTGGGGAGCTCTGCTATCTGCTCGTGAGTGTGGGGGAGGAGAGGGGAGGGGTGGGGAGAGAGAGAAGGGAGGGATGGAAGGGAGTGAATGGGGAGCCCCAGTAGCGGAGGGCGGTAGCGGATGCGCATGGCCACGGTCACGTCAGGGGCATCAGTGTTCGCGTGTGGGGGAAAGAGGGAATGGTTTGATCATTGGGGAGTCTTAGTGGCCCAGGCGGGCAGTAGCACTTGCGTCAGGGAAAAGACAGAAAGACAGCAAGAGAGAAAGACATCAGCATCAACAGCTTCGGAGCACGCATGTCTCACCAGCTTGAACGCAAAGAGGTAGGTAGTACAGACAGCAGGTTCTGTGGAACGTTGCTGGTGATGCGATCCGCAATAAATAGTCCCCCATGCCCCCCGCGCCCACCCATGCCTTACCAGCTTAAATGCGAAGAGGTAATAAAGGCCATCAAGAGACAGCAGGTTCTGCGGCACGTTGCTGGTGATACGGTCCGCCTCGTAGTGAAACAGGTAGTCGCCCACGGCCCCCCACCCCCCCACCCGCGCCCAACCCTGTTTTACCAGCTTGAACGCAAAGAGGTAGTAAAGGCCGTCGAGAGACAGCAGGTTCTGAGGCACGTTGCTGGTGATGCGGTCCGCCTCGTAGTGAAACAGGTAGTCGCCCACGCCCCCCGCGCCCACCCCTCCCACCGTGCCTCCTCCCGCGCCCGGACCTGACCGCATGCCTCGGCCCGAGCCTGAGCCCGCACCAGTGCGGGTGGCTCGGGGACCGTGCTGGAAGCCAATGAAGGCCTTGCGGGAGGGGTCGTGTACCGGGACGAAGGATGGCAGGGAGCTGGGGGCGGGAAAGGAGAGAGGGGGGAGGGGAGGAGGAAAGAGGCGGAAGATGACGTGAAGGGGAGCGGGGAGGAGAAGAAAGGGCGTGCAGGGGTTCAGCAGAGGTGCAGGCAATGGATGACGAGAATGCAATGCAACAGCCTCAAGAATTTTGAGTCCGTATGCTGCTCATGCGCTACGCCAGAAGACGTGCTTGACTACTCAAACCCCTTTAGCACCATAGGAAGTGTCACGGGTGGTTACCACTCGGTGTTACACGAGGCGATGGCGAGCGTGCTAAGGAGCATGGAGGCTTCAGGCGAGTCCAGCACAACCCCAGATGCTGTCACGGGTGCCAGCACCTGTGAACGAGAGAAATTGAGTAAAGGGGGGAAGAAGTGAGCCAGGTGAGAGGAGACGAACCAGGCTGCACGAGTACAAGATCCTCAGCAACAGCTAACCATAG